TTAATAAATTATAGGGAAAAAATGCGGGTTTTATTTACGTTTTTGTTTTGATACAACAATAATAATAAGTTAGTCTGCTTTATTATCATTGTTGAATAAAAGCACAAACAAATGTGAAAAATAAGAAGGAATAGGGCTGTATATATAAAACCCTTTGCCGATAATAATTTATAATAATTAAAATAATGAAGTTCGAAATCTATCAGTAGCTCCCAATCACGGTTTACAAAGAAATTTTCCTTTAGGAATTCAGTCGTCTGATAACCACTAAGTCTGTGTTACTGTCATCAACCTTGGGTCCGGTGGCGTAGGGTGAGTGTCTGCCATCCGGGGGTGGATGATAATTTTGATGTCCCTCTTAATTAGGTACTTCATATGTATTATTTATAATACTAAACATTATAAACATTAATTTTAAAGATTTTTTCGGTAAGAACTGTCGTCAGATTTTGACTGCACGGTTGGTCGAGTGGTTAAGTTGTCGCCATGCAACTACCCACGAATCGAGTGTTGTGGTTCGAACCCCACAAAGGACAATTTTTCGTGTGATTTACAAATAATTATTCTTTGTCTAGGTGCACTTTGTCTCTCGCAATACAGGACTTGTATCCTAAAAAGCGGACTAGTCTTTTTAAAAACAAAATAGAATGAGAAAGTATTTGAAAAAAAAATAACACTTCCCGAAATCAAACTAGATGTCGCTACGGTACTTTCTTGATTTCTCCATGACAACACTTCCGGCTTTCTTTCACGTTTAATAGTACCTGTTAGTAATGATCTGGGAGATATTTTTTATTTAGTATAGGTATTATTTTAAGACAGTTTAGATAAGTAGTTTGAATTACTATTGTTAAAGTATAAAATCAATAATTAGTTTTCAAAACTCAATAAACAACTCATATTCTATTTGTACTTATTCGTATTTGTATTGATATCTAAGTTCCGAACTTTTCAAATTTCAGTTTTTTTACATTTTAGTTAAAAGGAACGGAAACGACTGTCTTTGGTCCATTCGTTTCCTGCAAAAATAAACTTTTGCTAGAGTCGCCATCTAGTGGAGATGCTTTTTTAGTGCTTTCTTTTTTTGAAATACTTCCTCAGTGAATTGAAAAAAATAACTAAAAAACGGGGAATCCCCGGAAGTCAATATATATGGTGTTGCCATTCGCTATAAAATATCATTAAAAAAAGGATTCTCTGAATTCGTCACAGAATATTTAATGAAAATGAAAATTCCGTGATCTCTCTATTCGGTCCGAATTTATAATTGCGTAAAAAATATGAATTGGTTCAAATATTTGAAAAAATATTGTGGGGGTGCCCCCCGCCGCCCCGCTACGCTACGCTGCTGCTTGAGTAACTTAATGTTAGAATGCCTAAGATTTAATTTAGAACGAATCATCTGTTTGGATAAATTTTTGGAAATAAATAAGAAGAGTTCAGTACTAAGGACAAGGCTGTATGGTCATCAGATCTAGGGATAGACAAATGGGAAAAAAATATCGATTTATATCGGTTCGATATTTTTCAAACGTATCGATAAATATTGTCAAAAAATCGATATGTTTATATGCCGATATTTTCTATGCAACAAGCGATTATCTATAAAAATTGTCAAAATATTCAAGATTTTGAAGCAAATACGCATCTGGCTGTTTTGACAGCAGTTTTATTATTCAAAATAGGTACATAAATCCAACAAAACAACATCATCAACACAACAAAAATACAATTTTCAAACAAACCAGTATTTGTCTGATATTAACATCATGAACACTCTCAGTGATACCAACGAAACCAACAAGCAGTATCTATGTAATAGACAAACAGGTCATAGACTGTAATTTCTTAATTCATACAGCCTACTGGCTACCTACTCTTTATCTAAATTTAAGAAATATATAATGTAACGCATGAGCAGTCAACAGAACTTTAAAAAAATATATCGATTTTGATACGAATTTGATATCTAATAATAAATATCGAAATCCGATATATCGCGGGAAAAAAATATCGCTGATGTATATCGATTTTTGTCAGAAAAAATATTGATATTTTGATCGTTAGTTTTGGCCCGATCCTATTTGCCTCAAAACAAAAAAAAATAAATTAATGCAGGCTTACTAACTTAGGACTTTTAGCCCCAAAGGAGAACTTTTTTGTATGGAGGTTACTTTATTCAAATTATCTCTAACCAAGCATAAAGTATATATTAATCGATAGAGGGTAAATAAACCCTACACGTGCTTATTAAATTTTATTTTAAGGCGCCGCCAAAACATTTATTTTCTGATTTGAACATCATTTGGTGGATATTTCATAATTTATGTAGCAACACATAAGTGCATTAAGAAAATCCATGACAACCCCATCTCTAAGTTACGTTCATTGGAACGCAATACATGCATGAATTGTCATGCTGTCAATTAATCTATTTCGACAATGTGGAATCATTCTATTAATTATTGATATTTTAGACATTAACATATCAAATACAGAGATATTTTAAACGAATGGCTTGAAAACTATGGCTTAAATATGAAATTTTCTAATCTATTTGCATTTTCTGTAGTTTTAATTTCGTGTCATGGTTTGTTGTTTTCTTTTTTTTTGTTGGTTTTAGTCATAAAACATAGTATGCATTCTAGCTTCAATCATCAAATAGATTCGTCATCGGATGCTTTTAAGAATTTAAGACTACATCGCACAAAATTTTCAATGACTATACAAAATGTACTTGGGCCTTCTCTTCTTAATGAACTAGTAGAAAAGATAGGAGAGTAGTTCCCTTATTCTATTATAGTATACGAAAGCACAGATATTTTTAAATAAAAGGTTTTATGTGTTATGGTGCGTTTTTATTCATCTAAAAAAAGACAAATAGTCACAATATTTTTTAGGTTAACAAAATAAATGAGAAAGTATTTAAAAATAAACGACAGCACTAAAAAGCACCTCCACTAGATGGCGATTCTAGTAAAAGTTAATTTTTGCAGGAAACGAATGGACCAAAGACAGTCATTTGCGTTCCTATTTACTAACATATTAAAATACTGAAATTAGAAAAGTTCGAAACTTAGATATACAACGAACAAATTCAAAAATACAAATAGAATATGAGTTGTTTATTGAGTTTTGAAAACTAATTTACTTTTAAACATGAAATAAAACCGGAAAGGTTGTCATGGAGAAAACAAGAACGTACCGTGGCGACATCTAGTTAGATTTCGGGAAGTAATGTCTTTTTTTTTAAATAATTCCTCATTGAATGCGATTCAAAAACTGTTTAAGAAACCATCAAAAATCAACTTATTAAAGATGGTCTAAAATAGAAAATATGGTTGGCATAGGTGTAGATGGAGCTAATGTTATGGTTGAGAAACACAATTACCTATAGAACAATGGGACGATTCTGTGTTCTGTGGGACGAGAAGATGGAAATGACTGTTTTTACTTGCTAAGTGGCAGGACAAATGTTATTATGGCAGAGCAGCTTCATGCAGTAGCGGCGTTAGGGTAGGGCGCGGTTGGACGACCGCCCAGGGGCGCCGGACGATAAGGGGCGCCGCAGGCCGCGGCACCCCTTTTTCGTCTGGCGCTTCTTTCTGATTCTCTATAATGAGGAAGTATTTAAAAAAAACGAAAGCACTACAAAAATACCTACACCTAGATGGCGACTCTAGCAAAAGTTGATTTTTGCAGGAAACTAATGGAACAAAGACAGTCATTTCCGTTCATTTTAACAAACATATTAAAAAACTGAATTTGAAAAGTTCGAAACTTAGATATCAATACAAATACGAAAAAGTACAAATAGAATATGAGTTGTTAATTGAGTTTTGAAAACTAATTTACTTTTAAACATGAAAGAAAACTGGAAAGGTTGTCATAGAGAAATCAAGAACATACCGTAGCGACATCTAGTTTGATTTCGGGAACTTTTTTTTTTCTAATACTTCCTGATGCTGCTCAGGATAAATCTGTTATTGATGTACAACAAATACATGAACTAGATCATGTTGTGATACTGTCCCGAATATAGCGGATCCAGCTACTTGTCCACTTATTTGAAATAGCGAAAAAATTGATAATATAATGACTAGGTAGTGGCCCACTGCAAACTCACTGTCACAAAGTTACAACAATTACACAAAGTTATAGATAACAATTATGTGACACCCTGTTAGGGTAAAAATGAATCTGTACTTACCTAATGATGTGATCCGTCAAAAATGAATCAGCTACTTATACACTATTTATATGTCTACTTTTTAAATAAAACTATATAGTTGGAACAAGAGCATCGTAACGTAGTGTTAAACGTTTGATTACTGAGTTTGTTTGTTTTAAGAAAATCGATTTCTTTTAAGAGATAGATCTAGGGAATCCCCGATTGTAGAAAAACAGATTGTTTCTGTACGGTCGGAAAGTCGGGAATTCCCGAGAAAGTAAACCGATTGAACACTACGTTCCATTCTAATGCTGCCAACTTAACAATCTACCTAAATTTAGGGAAAATTACAAGTACAAGTAGGCCGGGTCGGCGAAAAAAAGACAAGTAACTGATTTGTAGTATGTAGTAGTAACTGATTGTAATTAAATTGCAGTTAGAGGGCGCCGAAGAAATTTCGCCCAGGGCGCTAGTAGTGCTAAAACCGGCACTGGCTTCATGATATTATAAAACGTCTACTGTTTAAAGCATTATTGTTATTTTTAAGAGACGAATTGAAAAAAGTTATTCAACTGAATGTTATTTTTCAATGTGATTAAGCAGAACCTTTAAAATTATTTAAAGATATTATAAGTAATTAACACTAATAAAGTTAATTAAATCAAAACAGGTCTTATTTATCCACCTAAATAAAAAAACTTTTTTAAACTATACCATTAAATCTGTGGGTAATTCAAGCAGGACAGGTCTTTTGGGTTTTTGATTACACCATTCAGGGTTATTTAGGGTTATTTGAGGTTGGTTTTAGGATTTTATTTTGTTGGGAGTTGGTAACACTGAATTACTGATAGTAGTGGATAGTATTGTATTTAGATTCGCGCGGGAACTTCGAAAAGGAAAAGGCGCCCTTTTTGAAAAAAATACTTTTAAACTTCTGTTTCAAACACTATTTGTGCTGAATTTTAACTTGTAATAGTTTTTTTTAACATAGAATACTTGAGTGTATATAATTTAATATTGAATTAATAGAAGATGGGAGGCGTAAAGAAGCGTAAAAAGGACCCACCTGATGGACGAGCTGGAATCAGTTCAACAGACTCTTCTTCGGAAGAGGAAGAAAACACCAGGAAGTATCAAATATTTAAAGTTTCTGGGTACTCTAGAAAGTATCCAGAAAATTGCAAAAAAAATGAGTATATAGTTTTTCTGTCTCACAAAGAAGAAAGTAAACAGTTTACTGATAAAGACAGATTAGCTATTTCTAATGCATTACGTAAACACTGTGTCACAGGATTACTCCACTTACGACCCATTAACAAATTTCGTGTAGGAATCACATTTGATCTATCGAATAATGCAAATGTCTTCATTCAAAATAAAAAGCTACTGGATGAACTAGGTTTAAAAGGCACAATTCCAGCGTCGGACTCTGAGGTGACCGGAGTTTTAACTTCAGTCCCAACGAGTCTTTCAAATGAAAGAATTTTTTCGTTAATAGGCAGTTCCAGAAACGTTATACAAGTCAGGCGTTTTATGCGACGAGTACGATGTGAAAATGGTACAATTTCTTATCAGCCCACACAAACAGTAGCAGTCACATTCGCTTCCACGGAACTTCCGCAGTATGTTTACCTCGATTCATGGCGACATGAGGTTAATGTATACATCCCACCAGTGAAACAATGTTTACGTTGCTTACGTTTTGGGCACATTGCAAAATTCTGCAGAAATGCGGAGGTCTGTTCCATCTGTACACAAAATCATAATTATAGACAGTGTAAAGAAAACCCTACAAATGCAGTGTGTGCAAATTGTGGAGGGAATCATATTGCAATTTCCAATACATGTCCTAAAAAGAAAATAAAAATTGAAGAAAACAAAATCAAATCCAAAACTACTAAATATTCGGAACTCTTTAATGAATCGTCTTTCCCACATTTACATACTAAAACACTAGAAACCCAGATCCAAAATTTAACAAAATCAGATACTTTCATGAATGTTCTCACACAAGCAATTACCAAACTCATTTCTAATCAAAAGGACAACCCCATAAATTCAGTTACTATAAAAGAAATCTTACATCAATCATTCAGAAACAATATATCTCCTTCCAAATAATGGATACAGTTAATATCATGCAATGGAACGCCCAAAGCATTATCAGTAATAGGCTTCTTCTAACTCAATTTCTTTATGAAAATAGTATTCATATAGCTATTATATCCGAAACTTGGTTACAACCTAATAAGAACTTTAACATTAAAGGATACAAAATTGAAAGAAATGATACTGGCAACAAACATAATGGTGTAGCTATTCTAATTAAAAATAATATAAATTACAATAAAATCATTACTTATTATGATAGCTGTTTGCAAAACATTTGCATCAGAGTTACTATAAATAACAAAGAATTAAGCATTGTTAGTTTTTACTGTCCTACAAATTGTATTCCAAACTTTGACAAATATAAATTTGACTGTTTAGTAAAATCAATTCCAAAACCAATGATTTTTGCTGGCGACTTTAACGCCCATCATACTTCTTGGGGATGTAACTCTGTCGATGCTAGAGGTAGAGATGTCCTGGAAATCATTGATGATAATAATTTAGTTCTCTTGAATAATGGTGAAGTGACCACAGTTGGTTCAATGACTTGGCGTTCTAATGCTTTGGATTTATCTTTAGTTTCTCCGTCGTTGGCTCTTTCATGTGACTGGTCCGTGCATAATGATCCACTTGGCAGCTATCATTTTCCTATAATAATCAAAGTCCTCTTTAGTAAAAATGGCAACAAAAGTTCTGTTTCAAATAATCGCGGTATACATTTGCCCATCCACCCTAATTTTAAAATGGTCGATTGGAAAATGTATACACAAAATGTTGAGTCCCTTTTAACAACTTTCAAACTAGAAAATTATACACCATTAGAAGCTCATTCTGTATTCTGTAAAATCATGAATTTAGCTATAGAAAGGTCCCTTCCATTTACTAGTCCTGCGTCTATCAATAATAGTAATAATACCCGTACTACGAAAACACCAATTCTGCCTTGGTGGAACAAAAAATGTTTTGAAGCAGTTCAAAGATCGAAAATGGCGTATTTAAATTTTAAAAATAATCCTTCTAATGAAACATATATAGAGTTCAAAAGGCTACAAGCTTTAAAAAAACTTACCTTGAAAACTGAGAGAAATAATAGCTGGATTGAATTGTGTAATTCCTTTAATCGTTGTACTCCTTTGTCTCGAATCTGGAAATTCATGCGTAAATTTAATAAAACATATTTGTATAACAATAGTGATGATGATTGGATCCCAGAATTTTTACAAAAGTATACCCCAGATTATGTACATAACACTTCTAGTTTTCCCATAGTTGATAATATGATTCCTTCAAATAACTATCTGATTAAACCATTTTCATTTCAAGAGTTGTCGTCTGCTATTCGCTCCAGAAGGGATACAGCATTTGGTCTGGATGGCATCCCCTATTTCATGCTTAAAAGACTCAGTGACAATAGTCTTCAAATTTTCTTGTCCATTCTGAATAGTTTGTGGTTAAATAATGATATACCCGATTCATGGAAGTCCGATTGTATAGTACCCATTTTGAAGCCAGATAAGCCCAAATCAAATCCCAACTCATATCGTCCAATCGCACTTACATCTTGTGTTGGAAAAATCTTCGAGCAGTTATTAAAACAAAGACTAGAGTTTTTTGTGGAACAAAATCATATTTTACCTGCAAATCAATTTGGGTTTAGAAGAGGCATGTCTGCCCGTGAAAGCATTAGCCAACTTCATCTTGATATCCAAAATAGCTTAGTTAGTAAAAATTTCTTGTTATCTGTATTTTTTGATGTTTCTGGTGCCTTTAATAATGTAAATATTGATATTCTTTGTTCTGAATTGGCTTGTATAGGAGTTCCAAGTAAAATAATTCAATGGATCCATAAATTTTTGACAGAAAGGGAAGTATATGTTAAACATAATTACAAATTATATGGTCCTAGACAGGCATCTATCGGAGTTTGTCAAGGAGGAATTCTTTCTCCCTTATTGTTTATTTTGTATATTAGACGACTAAACCTGGTACTAGGTTCTCATGTTAAAAATTTACAGTTTGCTGATGATCTCGTAGTGTATGCATCTGGAAAAAATTTAACAGAAATTACTAATATTGTAAATAAGTCTTTAGAAGGTTTATATAATTATTTTTCATATTTAAATTTAGATATCAATGCCCTCAAATCAAAATATGTTGTATTTGGAAAAATTCATAACTCAGCCTCTAATGTATATTACAACAAAATCCCTATTCCTGTTTCTTGTGAGGCAAAGTTTTTAGGAGTAGTATTTACTCACAATGTATCATGGAGTAAATATGTTGAAATTATAAGTTCAAGGGCCAACAAAGCATTCAACATTTTAAAATCATTATGCAGAACATCCTGGGGAGCTGATCCCAAAATATTATTGATACTTTATAAATCTCTTATTCGCAGTCATTTTGAATATGGGTTTCTATGTTTTTCTGGTGATAATAGACTGGTTGACAAACTAGAAAAAATTCAAAATAAAAGTATGCGACTTATAACTGGAGCATATAAAAGTACACCTATAAATTCATTACAAGTTGAGTGTGGATTACCTCCTTTAAGTATAAGACTTTCATACTTAAAAGAACGATTTATTTTAAAACTATACACAAAGAAAAATAATCACCTCTTTTTAAACTTGCTAAATTCATGCACTTCAAACTGTAATCTTTACATTCTCCATAGTTTCTCCCAATTTATAAATTATCTTGATGGTCTCCAAATCCATAAATCAGAACTGCTACCTTGCTATCAAGGAGACTTTGACAGTAAGTTTCCTGCAATAAATATTATCATTGATCATAAATTATCTTCTAAGCAAGATGTTAGTTATAAACTTTCTGAGTTTTCTGGTCATAGGTTTTTATACACAGATGGTTCAAAAACTGAGTGTGCTGTCTCATTTGCAATTTTTGATGGGCAATTGAATTTAGGTACAGGTTTCAAAATAAATCCTAATACAAGCATATTTACAGCAGAGGCCCTGGCTATCCTTGCAGGTTTAAAACACATTAAATATAAAAATAATGGATGTCGTAAGTGGGTAATAGTTAGTGATAGCATGAGTGTTTTGGAAAATCTGAAAAATAATAAGTTCAATGCCAATACAAACTACCTTATCTTTTCAATCAAACAATTTTGGTTTGACTTGTATTCTGTGGATAACATTCAAGTTTCATTTTTGTGGGTTCCTTCACATACAGGTGTGGTTGGAAATGAAAAAGTTGACTTTTTGGCAAGATTTATAACCAACGCTTCAAATATTATCCCTGATTCCAGCAATAGTCTTAATGTAACTGTACCAAATACTGACATTGTTTCTCTTTTAAAAAACAGATCAACAGATTTGTGGAAAAAGCATTGGAATTTTAAAGTACAAATAGAAAACAAAGGTTTATGGTATGCTTCTTTTAATGTGCCTGTAAATTCGACACCTTGGTTCTGCAAAAGTAAGACTTACTTTAATAGGAAATTTTACACAACTATTTTGAGGCTTCGTTTCGGTCACTGTCGTCTAAACTACCACCTCTATCGACTAAATATAGCACGTAGTTCCTCTTGCGACTGTTGCGATACTCAAGCAGAACAGTCTTTGCAGCATATATTCTTTGAGTGCCCATCCTTTGGCATCCAGCGCCTTGTGCTGATGGATGAGCTGATTGAGATATATAATAGTCCGGAACTGGTACCGCGCTCCATTTCGAATCTGCTTGTAAATACATCCACTTATAAACCTTTGTTCAAATTTATTGAAAGCACAATTGGGCAAATTTAGGTGTACACGTTAAATGGTCCAATAAGGTTTGATTGTTGTTATTGTCTTTGTTTTTATTTTGATTTTTTTGTTTTTTAAGAGAAACTGTTAATTTTCAAAGAATGGACTGGTATAGTTCACTTTACTTTTTGGTTTTTAGTTATTATTCTAAGTTATGCTCTGATTGTTGGTACTATTTAACATTTTTTTCTAATTTTATTTTCTTCTAACAATTTTAGAATTTATTTTTATATTTGACTGGTGTCTTTCAATGAATATGTTCAGTTAGTTTAGAATAGTTTAGATGGTCTCCAAAGAGTACTTTGTATATGATGCTCTCTTTGATTTTATCTTGTATATTTGAATAGATTTGAATATTTTATTTTATCTTTTTGACGTTCGACTTCACATAGGAATATTTTACTTATGTAAATACTTATTTTTAGTACTGCACAAAGTTATTATAGGTATACTAAAGACTTGTTATCTTATTATAAATACAAAGAAATACAATTAAACTAATGACAAGGCAGCATGGTCTATGATCTTAGCCTGTTCCGAAGGGAACGAATTAAAAAAAAAAAAAAAAAAAAAGTATTGTATTTATTCGGATGGTTAACAAGAATTTTCGCTACTGAAATACTGAATTCTGATTTAGTTCTCTCAACTCTTGCAAGAGCTTATTTTTTTGAATTCTAAATATTAAATAAAACGGCTGCTATAGGTAACGTTGATGAGTCAGTCAAGTTTGCATTGCTTCAAAATATGCAGGGTACAAACAAATTAAATTGAACAATATTGCCTGTTCATTTCAGAATAATATACCGCACAATGAAGACAGCAGTGACTGTGCTCCAAGAGATGATGGTGAAGATGACCCAGACTCCCGACTATGAATGTATTTCACAGGTTAGCTAATGACTACAAACACGTATATTTAATTATATGGTATTTTGCTCTCCGAATACCACAACACTTGAGTTTTGTGGTAGTGACTTGAGTTTTATTTAAATAGCCATAGCGAGGCACCTAATAGCGAGGGGCTCCCAACGTGCAGGGAATGTAGCTTTTTGCTACGTGGTTAATCCAGCCCTGTCCATATCTATTATCTATTTGACCAATTTTAATATATATACACTACTACATGTACACTGTCTTGTAAAAATAAATGTATGTATTTTCCTTTATTCTCTACAATTTTTTTCGTTACATACCCCTACCACATAATTGGCAAAACAAATCTCATAATAAACATTGATTTGTACATGTTTAAAGAGTTAAAATATGGAAGAAACAGAAAAATAGAGTAAAAACAAAATCACATTGATTGCCCATAGGGAATTTGTGGGTATGCCAACCTTACCACACATACTTTACCACACATCATAGTGATTAATATTAATGGGGAAAAGTAATTTTTTATTTACCCTTTGGTTTACTGTCCCCACATTTATTTTCTTTGACATTATTTTGACAGTATTTTCTGGGTGATTCACAGTCGGGACCAGAGCACCAGGCTATGTTTGAGTACCGGTGTGCAGCACTGGGAGCTGTGGTAACAGCACAAGCGCGGTCTAAGAAGGAGGCAAAACAAGAGGCTGCCCGCCTCATGCTACGTGCGCTTGCTGCCCGAGGACACCTCATACCGCCGCCCTATGGTCTGCATGATGTGTCTCACGTATGTATTGCTCATCTGCTTAAATTACAATTGTTACAATTGAAATGTGTACTAATTGTATAACTGAATGCCTCTGAGAATGAGGCTCTAAGAAAAATCATCACATAGTTATTTAATTTAATAAAGCACTGAGATAGCTACACAACAGTAATATTGTACTTATTTCAGTTAAATATCTAATTTATAAAAGTATAGCTATTATAATCTACTTATATTATAAATCTGAAAGTTTCTTTGTTTGGATATTTGTCCATCAATCACGCCGAAACTACTGAACGGATTTTGATGAAACTTGATTTACAAATAGGGTATTAGCTGACTAAGATAATACATCACATCACATCACATCACCAGCCCTTTTACGTCCCCACTGCAGGGGCTCAGGCCTTCCTTATGGATGGTTAAGGAGGATGGGCCATGACCCTCCACGCTGGCCCAATGCGGATTGGAGGGTATTGAAGACTGCAAATGCAGCCGGGACCAACGGCTTAACGTGCCTTCCGAAGCACGGAGTAGCTCGAGATAATAATTTTTTGGTCACCCATCCTGTGACCGACCCTTGCGAAAGTTGCTTAACGACTACGATCGCGGGCCGCGGCGCTTATCCACTACGCCACCGAGCTACTCAAGAGGCTGCCCGCCTCATGCTACGTGCAGCAAGCGTACTAAGATAATAAGATACTTTTTATCCCACTGAATAGTTCCTTAGGGAGCACACAGGCGAAGCCGCTAGCGGAAAGCTAGTTCATAATAAAATTATATTAGGTTGGGGAAAAAGTCTTTTCACATATAGTATACATAAACTTGTAATAAAGTCTTTCTAGCTATACCATTTGGCTGGTTTAAATTTGTTTAATTGGTTTAAATATATATTTATGACCCTAGTGCAGTTTATGTAAGAGTAGCACAAATTTTATTGTACACATGTTCAAAAAAAAACTAGTAAAAACTAGAAAAACTAAAACGGGAACATATAAATGAATAATTGAAAGTGCAACTCACTCGGGTATATTGAAATAATTGATAAAAAAATTGGTATTTTGTATAATATATATATCAAAATGTCTTTGGCGTAAAAAAGGTTACTAAAAAAAAATATTAAACTAATTTACATCTTCAGTGAAATACGTATAAATAAAAAAAGTTTGAAAGAAATAATTTGTTAGAATTAATTTCAACATTTGTGTCATGCACATTAGCAATTGTTGCTACGAAAAATCTACTGCACTGTAATATTTTCTATAGTTTTGTTCAAGTTAGTGTGCGTACAATTAATGAAAGGACGCCATCCAATTTGTCGTTTGTTTCTACGAGAATTGCCCCAAACGACGCGAAGGTGAACGAATGTGTGGGGCGTGCGGCAGCAAACGCCGAATCTCATGTTGTCTGTTTGTTCGCTCAGTCTGGACTAAGGTTGCCATGTACTATAACATATAATTTTGTGCTATATTTGGGTAAGGTGTATTTTTCAGATAGGCTATCCCACCTAAGAAACTGAAGTATCATAAAGTAGTCATCAAAATTGAATGGTTTGTCATGATAGTAAATTTGTGTATACAAAAATGATCAACGATCAGAAAAACATCATTTTGTTATATTTGAAAGTCAGACAGAGCGACTAGAATGTCAAATTCAATGTAAATAAACTTCATGCAAAATAAATGGTTTAATCAACATAAAGAAGCAATATTTCATTAGCAAACAAAAAGATAAAATTTAGATAGTTAGGTTTTTCACCTACCTATATTTCCCGACGTTTCGACCAGGTTACACTGGCCGTGGTCACGGGCTGACTGTTTCTGCGATGCTACGTCTCATCTTCTGAAGTGAAATCCACTTCTACCGTCCAGCTTTTTCTCCAGGCACCGCTACACACAACACTAACGGAATCCCTCAATTGTAATCTTTGGAATCCCTATTCTGTATCGCAGCCGTATTCTGGTGGTCCGGCAACCGCGAATTGTTTTTTATCATTGGATTCCACGTTGTTGATAATTTAAAACCATCTTCGCGATTGAAATTGCTTTAATGTTTTTTTTAATTTCAATCGCCTCACGCACATTCCGCGAATAGAAGTTACGATCCGCAGAGAGTACCCGTGTACGATGGAATCAACTGGATTGAATTCTATTCTAATAATATCGGGAAATATAGGTAGGTGAAATACCTAACTATCGAAATTTTATCGCGTTAATACCCGTCTTATACAATCTAATATAAAGCAACGCGAAAGTTTAAAAGTTTATAAAAAAAACAAACTATTTTTCAAAGTTTATGTCGCATTATTTAAGGCAAATTTAAACTGTAAATTTACTGTTTACTTTGAAACTGAGATCAAACGACGAAGTAAAATGTAATAAACTTAATATTCACCAGAAGGTCGCTTAATCATTATTTCCCATAAACTCTCGCTTTAAATTAATATGTAGTATTTAATTAAGTAAACTTGTTCGGTTTTCATGAAAATATACGGATTTTTCAATATTATAACACGCATTTTATTATATATTATACTACTCTGAGAATAATTATATTCATTTAAAACAAATTTTATGGAAAACTTCAGTCACTGAGTGACATGAATGAGATAGTTCAATTAATCAAATTCAAATTCATAATAATATGACCCATCACTAAAACTGTCAAGTCGCCATATTTGTTGACATTTTGTGCCACTTTAAATGAAACAAGGTATAGGTATAAGTTGATTTCTCTAAGTTCTGGTATGAGTAAGAGAACCGTGACGTTACGCACTATTTACGGTCCCATGACAACGAGTAGGTATAAAATATTTGCTTTTTCATAATGAATTGAAGCACTATTATAAATATAATAAGTGTGGTGTATTCACGTTCCTGCAGGTCTTCCGCTTTATTTTCGTTCACGTTCTTACAGGTCTTATGCCTCGTTTTTACCAAATAAAACACTTTAGATGTTTATCTACGAAGACTTTTTTTATTGAATCAGAAAACAACAGCATATGAAATTGTCAATAAAATTTGAAAATTATTATTTTATTTATCATTTGGTGAAAAGAGATTTGATCCTGAGAGGTTTGAGCATAAAAGTGTGACTATCGGTAATAATATATTAAACACTACAAGACAAAAAAATATATTTTCGTTTATTGTCTACACCCGTATCACAAAGAGCTACAGAATCAATCTAATTGGTTGACATTTGCCTCTCTTTGAAATTTGAGTTGAGCCACGTCAGTTGTATGATACTGTACGTAGTTTTTGTTCTCTCATTCAGATTCGAATTTTATATTAAGCAAACTATCTATTAAAAAATAGCGACGCATTTAAAGTTTTCAACGCATTTAAGATTTTAGTAGACTATCCTTTAAATTATACACTATAATGTTACATGCAGGTCTGAGTAATGTATTTTGTGCAGTCAGGACTGGCCTCGGGTGTAACAGAGACAACGGCGATGACGAGTACGGGAGAGACAAGCGTAGGAGGCGGGTCGCGCAGTTACGTGGCGCTGTTAAAAGAACTGTGCACAGAGTATAAATTGCCCGGAGCCGAGTACGAGCTGGTGGGGGACACGGGACCTCCTCACATGCGACATTTTACAATGGCGGCGCGCGTTGGACAGCGACAACGCCTCGCCACTGCTACTACAAAGAAAGCAGCGCGACAGCTAGCCGCTGAACAATTATATACGTACCTCAGGGAGAACCTGGCACGGCTCACGGCAGACTTCGTCGAGGTACCGACTCCCTTTCGTCACATTAATTTTAATTATATTTTTGTCTTTTTTATATATATAGTTAAAAATTTAAAATACAGTAATGTGGCGAATATATTACTTATCTGACAAACTGTGCCAGCAGCTTTTTGCTGCTGGTATGATGCCGGCTGTAGTGCAGTTTACCCGTTTGTAATGAACAGTAACATTAGCAAATTGCTTGTTTCGTGTGCAGGAAGATGCGCTAGTGCGAGCACACGAGAAGGCGATGGAGCGGTACTTAGAAACGCGCGAAGACACACGACGACCAGACCTCGGTCAAAAAATCGCCGATTACCATCTAGGTTTGGTCAATCATATCGGTAGGTTCCCCTTCATCGCGGCTTCACGCCGATTCGCATCCTGTATCGATCGGACTTCAGATCACGTCGACAGTGGGCTGTTTTCGACTCGCACAAGTCAAATTATACAAAGATCCGCTCCATCCATGACCATCTGCTTATTGAAACGCTCGCATCGATTCAAGGATGTCGATTGGCCGAAGTCGCTACTCGAATCGTGATGAAAACATTATGCGAGATTCGACCCGAAGATAAGAAACAGTCCTCCGGCGGCCATCTCGAGAGAAAATAATAAATGCTCGTTCGAATAAGAAAACAATTTTTGTCACGGTTCGAGTCGAAAGGTCGGTAATCGGTCAACAGCCGCGTAAGGTCTACCTTGTCTACAGACGCGGACAGGTGTGAGGAATCTTTGCGAATGTTGGAGTCTGGCACGGGGGACGGAGTGGAGGAGTTGGAAAGCGCGTTGAGTACGTTAGGGCTGAGCGTGCAGGCGAGCACACTGGCTCGTACGGACGGTGGTGACCTGCACGTGCTCACCGTAGACGCTAACCCTCAAATGTCCTTTGCCGGTACGAGCCCGCAACGAGCTCGCGTGGCGGCACTTCGATACCTCCGCCGTGCTCTTAAACAACACCCATCTGCTACTGACGTGCGACCACCCACCGGTTAAATGTAAGTACGCTTCTAATGCGCGGCACAGTCTTGAACCGAAATGGCGATTTTCCGGTCTCCGGTGCATCCGCTGCGTTGCAATCAAATTCAATTAATTTATTCAGGCTAAGCTGTCCCAAGCACTTGTGAATGTCGAATAATAGAGGTTAAAGTATGAAATTGCCGATTTGTACTGAAAATCAAAATTGTTTAATTTTTAACAAATTTATTTAATCAAAATAGATACCATACATTTATGCCTTTGTAATAGAACTCTGAGGGTCTAGACTGCACAAACTGTGTGGAAACATTTTGTACTGCCTCCTGGAAAGAAAGCTTTTTGTCATGTAGGCAATCGTAAGATAACACAAGTTTCAACACGCGTTTCTTTCTGCAGATCAGACAAATCATGAGGCACCCATTTTTCGTATTTTTATTTTATTGATTTGACGCAAATTAGTCAATATTGTGGGTAAGGTAACGTTAAACCCACAGAACATAGAGAGAGAAGTTGACTGGGATTGGCTTCCACCATCTCTCTTAATTCATCGTTATTCACCTGTGTGTGCAGTCTTACTCGTGGCTCGTTCTTCAAGTCGAAGTTTCCATCACAAAAGCATTTAAACCAAAATCGCACAGTGTGTTCATTAGCAGAGCTCTCTCCAAAAGCAGAAGTGATATTGCGGGCTGTTTCTGCCGCGTTACTTTCGCGTCGGAACCCGTATTCAAAAATCACTCGAATTTTCGCAGTATCCATATTTCTTGTCAAAGTTGAATAACAAAAACAATTGAAAGTCGATATTCAAATGTTTCAAATAAAAGAAGAACATCATAGAAACATTCTAATATTTTAAGTCAATTCAAGGTACCTATTAGAATAAAACGGCAATGTTATACTTTATCCCCTAATACTATGCCATCGGTTCGCAAATCTACGGCGGGAGACCTTATACTAAGAAGAACCGGCACGTAAGTCGTGCGGTTCAACTTACGTGCCGCGCATTATACTCCTAAATATACTTATACTTTTTGGATTAATTGATAGTGGCAGTGACATCTTAACCGAATAGGACAATTTACTGCAATAAGATGATGTCTACGTAAAAAAAATAAAAATTCTGTTTAGTTCGTCAGTCAGATTTTTCTAATACAATTTAACAAGAAATAATTTACTGCTTTGTTTTAACAGCGTTCTAGTTGAGAAGTAGGGGGAAGTTTTGTAGGAAATTCACAAAAGCGTGACGTCATGTGATGTTTTAATTCAATGGATCGCCATAATTTAATGATGAACAATCTATCCGACGGACAAAAAACTGTCGTCAGATTTCAGCTCTAGCACTTGTAGCAAACAGTTTTTATAAACGTCAAACTTCCTTCATAGGGTAGTTATCACAGAGTGAAGTAATAGGGAGCATAGTATTAATTTAAAATTATAATGAGGAAGTATTTAAAAAATATAATAACTACAAAAAATTATGTCACTAGATGGTAGCTTAAATTATAGGGTCTAAATATCAATTTATGATGTTAGCCAGAGAGAATAATAGAATGAGGAAGTATTTAAAAAATAAAAATTCGTTCTTGAAATCATGCTAGATGTCGCTAGCGACATTTGGATATTGACTATGATATTCATTCAAATTTTGTTTTTGACGTAATAAGAGTAAATTGAGTATCGAAAATAATAAATATGAGATCGTTTTGTGTTTCTTATAATATCTTACTTTCAAATTGATTTTAATCTATTTGAATTGTAACTTTAAATTATTTATTATTTTAGGTGTAAAGGAACGATGTTTGGTTTATATTTCAACATTAGTGATGAGCCAAGTTATTGGTTGCTCGTTACTTCAATTTACTCAATTCATCTGAATTCAGGTTTGGAATCAAAAACAAAAGCGGAGCGGAGAATTCAGCTTGTTTTTTTTTTATGTGCAGTATTTACATATGTGCCATTATGCATCCACACGAATTATATTAATATAAATAAAAAAATCTATTCAGTCTAGTCTGTTACGTAGTACTTGTAAATGCGGGAGATCTTGTACTGAGAAGAACCAGTAAGAAACTTAGCAAGGCCGCTTTTTTATTCCTGTTTTATGTCACACAGTCAAGTCTTATTGGAATGTGTCTTAATAATACTATGAAGTAACTTTCCATTACAATATCAGAAATCCTACATACTCATTGACAAATCAATATACTATATTCATAATAAATGGACGAAATTAAGTAGCCCAGTGCAGACTCCTGACTGGTGACTGTTTTGCGTGCAAACGTGGAAAACCGTGAAAAACGTGAAAGTGGAGACCTCAGAGGCCTTAGTCCTGCCAACCCAGTTCATCCAAGAAGGATTGTAATTTCCTGATGTTATTGCAAGTGTCCAGTAGTGTCTTTGGTCTGTCCAGATGTGCAGTCCTTTGTCTCGTCACTCCTCTGCAGTGCAGCAGTACGTGAGCGCTCGTCTCTTCTTCCTCCAGGCAGGCCCTGTACAGTGGACTGTCAGAGATGCCTAGGTTATAAAGGTGTTTGTTAAAATACCCATGTCCAGTGAGAATACCCATAATTAGTCTCAGTGTGTGCATAACTTAGCTGATAATCTCGGGTCTACCTTAGAGATTGCGTCCCTGGCTTGTCCGCAGTCGGTGAGTTTAGACCATTCTTCGTCATGTTTACGTTCCCGTATCGAACCTCTCTGTAAACTATATGGAATAGGTACTAACGGTTCCGGTCCGTAGATTACGGTGTCCGAGCCCTTTCTGGCCAAAAGTCAGCCCGTCATTACCTCTGGATCTGCTATGACCTTTTATCCATTGTAATGTCAAGTCATTGTCCTTACTTACCTCTGTTATTTTACAGTGGCATTCGTATACTAAACCTGATGTCATTATGTTGTTGTGCAGCGCTTGAAAAACCGACACACTGTCCGAGAGTATGCGGATGCTTTTACCTTTAACTGCGCTACTCAGTATGGCTTCGACAGCCCTCAAGATGTCCACGCACTCAGCTTGGAAGCTGTGTTGTGGGACCCCAGTGCTATTGAGACATGCATGATAAGGTCCTCTGAAAATGCCCCTGACCCCATAACCTGTCTTAGTTTTGGAACCATCAGTGAAAATCCTGAGTTCCTTATGTAGACGTTTGTCTGATGCATTCACGTAAAGTTGTATTCTGTACCTTTTGTCAAATACGTACTGTTTAGGAATTGGTTCATTTACTGCCTTAAAAAACGGGTATTCAGTATAGATATCTTTCATTATGTCCATGTGTTGTGTATAGTGCCCTTTCCACAGCTTTAGCGCCTGCAATCGTGTACCCGCACAAGCTGCTTGCAACAAGCTTCCTGTTGTATATATAAATGTAGAGGTCTTACGTTCAGAATGGTCTCTAGTGCTGCTGTAGGAGTGGTCCTCATACTACCAGATATCACACGACAGACTCGTCCTTGTAAACTTTTCATTTTGTCCTTTGTTGTCACCTGTGTTGTTTTGGTCCACCATACTATCGCCGTGTAGCTAATGATGGGCCTTATTACAGTCATATATAGCCATTTAGTTATGTAAGGGGTCATGCCCCAGTTCTTACCAAGCATTCTCCGACATTGCCAGTAGATGATGCATGCCTTACTCAAGACGTAGTCTAAATGTCCTCCCTAATTTAGTTTGGAATCAAGAGTAACCCCCCAGGTATCTTAGCTCGCCGGACAGACTAAGTGTCTCTCCAAAAAGCCTCGGCACCCGGATGTTTCCCAAATTCCTCTTGTTGGTGAACATGACCAGTTCAGTTATAGATGGGTTTACCTTCAGTCCATAATCCGAGCACCACTGTTCAACTATCTTCAGTGCCCTTTGTGTTATGTCACATACCGTGTCTGCGAACTTACCTGGTATGCGAATTGCCAGGTCGTCTGCGTATCATATCGTGAGACGGTGTTTAGAGTTTAATAATAAGGTCGTTTACCACTGTATTCCAGAGCAGGGGTGATAGAACTCCTTTAGGGCACCCTCTTGTGGCTAGAGCTCTCAGATGATCATCATCCTGCAGTCTTAATTAGCCTGTTTCGAAGCATGCTACTTATCCATTGGACGGTCACCTCCTCGGTACCATGTGTGAAAAGTGCAGTGGTTATGCTCGTGAAACTCGTTTTGTCGAAAGCCACTTTAATGTCTATAAAAGTACATAAGCACATCTCCTTATGTTTCAAGCTGTCCTCTATGGTGCTTATTACTGCGTGTAATGCAGATTCAGTCGATTTACCTGGACTATAGGCGTGTTGTTTGGGTGTAGTTTGGTCTTCCTCAGTTGGTTGTCCCTTGATTATCTGTCGCATAGTCGCTCGAGTATTTAAAAAAAACGAAGAGAGACTTATGGGTTTGTAAAACTTGGATTCGCTGTAGTCTTTTCTACCTGGTTTAGGAATGAAGATAACTCTGACCTCTCTCCACAGTTTCGGCGTATACCTGAGCGCTAAACAGGCTCTTAGGAGGGGTACCAGGATATGTGCTAATGCTTTCCTTGTCCACTGTAGTAGTGCTGGGAATAGTTCGTCCGGTCCTGCAGTTTTGAATGGCTTAAAACTGTTTTTTGCCCACAATATTTTGTGCCGCTTCCTGTTCATGCATGTAAGCGGAGGCCACCACCAGGTCTGGTATACTTGGATTTTATGATTGTTTTATTTTTATGGTTGTTATGTCGCTAGAACAAAATTGTGTCATTAGTTGTGCCTTAATATTGTCAGAACATAAAATACAAGACCGCGGTACACGGTCACCTGAGTTATATGTATAATGTCTTACCACCTATGTTTTTCAGTCTACATATGCTGTTTGTTCTAACCCACAGCTCTTGGATCAGAACCATAGCCCTGTCATTAACCACCAACCATCTTCTGACTTGAACCGTTGCGGTGCGACTGTGTTGGAGGTTGGCTTGTATAATGTTAATTTTCGGAGGGGGCGCCATCGGGAGATAGCAGCAGATCGACATCAATCTCCTGACTGATGTTCATCCCTCCGAGTCTGTCCGCCCATTCGTAGACCACCTCTGACACTCTAGGTTCACCCATCATGGGCTTAACGACTGTTAGTGGTTTGTCACTGACAGGTTAGTTTAAAGTCGTCGCAGCTTGAGGCTCAGATTCTCTCTGTGATGGCAGGCTTTCCAGGTACTTACCCTCCTGGTTCCTGAACCTCTCGTACACAGAGCCCAGCAGGTAGAGGCGTTGTCTAGACCTCTCAGCCACCAGTCTCTCAGCGACGTCTCTAGTCGTGTTGAAGACGAAGAAAGTACTCTAGTCTCCAGTTATCGCTTTATGTAGGAGCCATTTGCCCACTTCCGCGTTCAGGTTCTGGTACCTCAGAACCCTCGCAATAGTGTGAGGCTCTCTTGTGTCCGGTATAAGATCACTCGGCTCGGTCTGTCAATCTGGCGTTGGACTGTAAGGTCTTCCACTCCCGCCACGTTCAAGGTTTTTATGGTCTTCTTTAACCACGTCACGGTTTCAGTCGACTTGCACCAAACTTGATTTCTCCATGACAACCCTTCCGGTTTTCTTTCATGCATAAAAGTAAATTAATTTTCAAAACTCACTAAACAACTCATATTCTATTTGCACTTTTTCGTATTTGAATTGGTATCTAAATTTCGAATTTTGCAAATTTCAGTTTGTTAATATATTAGTTAAAAGGAACGGAAATGACTATCTTTGGTCCATTCGTTTCCTGCAAAAATCAACTTATGGTATTGGCTCCATCTAGTGAGGTGCTTTTTTATTGCGTCCTTTTTTTCTTTAAATACTTCTTCATTGCAATCTATTTAAAGTGGCAATAAGGCATTTTCCTATTGTGATCAGGAGCATGCCTTTTAAACGCTTTTCTTTAATATCAACACGCATAGAATGAAAAGATCGGGAGATTCGTTGTCTACTTAATGTTTCTCGAAAGTGAGATATCGTATTAGGTGACATTTGGGTGTAAACAAAACGCTCTCGAATTCGTCATGCTTCGCGTATAGGATCCAACATTACATGAAGTAGGAAGAGGCTTAGTAGCCGCCAATAATTATAGGCCGATTTTTTTTAAATACGTTTTAGATTAAACGTTTTATTTACATAAGGTTTTTACAAACAAGAGTTTTGAGTTTACTTAAGATCCAAAATATATATCATTATATCGTCTTTCTGAAGCGATATATCGATATCGACTGTAACCGATATATATCGATATTTGTATGAAACTTGCATCTTTACTCCTTTCTGAACGTTATGTTTCGTATTGTTTTATAGAGGCGACTTGCCACTACTTAGATCGGAGCATGCAGTAACAGATTGTCCGCCGAACGCAACCTCGACTATGCGGCTTTGTGACACAAGAACATCCGATCTCTGTGGAACCACTATTAAACTAATTCGAGGGGTAAAAAATAATTATTTTTAGCCGGAAGATAAGCTATTCTTCGCAGTGGTTGATTTAAGTATATGTCCGCTGGTATGCTACTAAAGTTCAATAGATACATTTCATCGCCATAAAAGTTTAACAACGACTGCTCTTGAGGTCATAGTAAGTGCACAGTTACGATCTGTAAATTGGCACTCATCTAATATACTTGATATAGAAGAAAGTCTTGATATAAAAAAGAGAACTTGTTAGGTGCATGAAATATTGAAACCTAGAAAATGAAATGAATATCGGATCATTTGTTGTTGATGAAGAAAAAATGTGCAGTTGGCGCATACCCGCGGGCAATGCACAGTCAACAAAAGCCAAACAGAAACATGTGCGTAGCCGACGGAGTGGTTCACTCGCTATCATATTACTGTACACACGATTTACTGTATAATGCGCAACGCGTAAGTTGAACCAAAATTCTACTGCACTGTAATACATTTTTGGATTTCAATAGAGGTGCTAGGGCGAGAGGCATCGCATATGTCGAAAATCGCGGCATGTAACTTGAACGAAAATGACAACTGCACATGAATAACACACTTTCAGGTCTGAATTGAAACACAACGCGTAACCATGGCAACGCAGTAAACCGGTGACCGGAAAATCACCATAACGGTTCAACTCACGTGCCTCGCATTATAACATGTGAGGGTCTGGACGCAATATTAGAGAATGCGATTCGTCACTCAGAATAAAACAATCATAAAATAGTTATATAAAATGTAGTAAAAAGTAATATCTCTTTTGTAATATTTCAAAACTCCCAATAAACCGCAAAATTAGCGAGAGGAAATAGCTAACCGTTGTAAATGGAGTCTAGTCACTGCGTACACCCGTCACTCAACCTAGACCCTATGTCACAGCCTACGCGTAAATAAATGTTTGTTATTATTCTTATATTGTAAATACTTCCTATCTGTAAGTTTATAATATTATCTTTGGTTTAAGATATTAATTGTAGCAGATAAAAATACTATTTGAATATGTATCTATGTAGTTAGTTACTACCAATAAATTAACGTCATCAATTACAATAGTTTTATTTGTCAGAAACGAATCAGTCTACATCAGTGATTCCCTAAGTGGTACAGGTGGATCCCCAGGGGTCCACGAAGGATTCAACGGGTGGTCTACGTTATCGGGAAATAAAAATAGGGGTACACAAGTTGTAAGTGGGGTCCACGAAAATTTATTATTAATCAAAATCCGAATGCCAAAGACAAACGTTACGCATTTGTTTTCGGAATTTCGAAGACAATAGTGTGAGTTAATCTACGTCAGTGTTTGCCGGTCCCGAAAAAGTAAGCTTTGTTATGTTTGTGTGTCGTAAGTACGTACCTATACTCCATTCATTATAGCATTAGACAGAAGTTAAATAAGGTTCTTTTTATGGTATACTTTGTGACAAAATATCAATAAACATGTTACTCTTGTTGTGGTAGGGCAACACTAATGACAGCCCGCGCATATTATATTGTCGGTTAGAGATTATCTATGGAACTATGGAGGCTGGCTTGGCTAGGTTGTACTTTGTGAGTAGTGTGTTTGTTACAATAATAATAAAAGCTAATTCCTTGAATGTTGAGTTAATCATTTCTACATGGTGGCAGCGGTGTTATTAAATAATAATAAACATGGAGGCTAATCCAAGCAGGGAGGAGTCGAGACCTGTTAAACTTTTGATACCCATGCAAAATGTCAGCCCGCCGGAAGAATTTTCATTTGAAAGCAAAGATTGGCAAAGTTGGAATAAAAGGTTTGAGCGTTATTTAAGTCTAAGTGGTGTAGAGAGAAACGATAAAGATAAAATTGATTTGTTTTTATACGTACTGGGTGGAAAAGCAGAACAGCTTGTGAGACAACTAAAAGTGGAAAACTGTGAAAAGTATGTTGAAGTACATTCAGCTTTTGATAATTATTTCACACCCAAGAAAAATGTGGTTCATGAACGATATAAATTTAATATAAGAAAGCAAAAAGAAGGTGAAAAGATGGAGGACTTTGTTCGAGGGCTAAATATTTTAGCTGACTCCTGTAATTATGGTACATTAAGAGATGAGTTGATAAGAGATCGTTTAATAGTAGGGGTTGCAGATAGGAAATTAAGTGAACGATTGCAAATCATACCAGAGCTGAGTCTAGATGATGCAATAAAATTATCAATGCAAGCAGAAGAACAAAGGGAGGAAGCCAGATTGATGTGGAGACGTGAAGCAGAAGAAATGCAAATAAACAAAATAGCAAAAAATACAGGCACTAAGGTGAACGAGGATGGAGGAAGAAAATGTTGGTGGTGTGGAGGAGCAATGCATAATCGGGAGAAGTGTCCAGCGTTTAAAGTCAATTGCTATAAATGCAAGAGAGTAGGACATTATTCTCGTTGTTGTTGAGACTGGAAAAGGATAAACAATATAAATGAAGACGAGTTTAAGGTACTAGTACATCTGTCTTTAGGAGAAGGTTTTACTAAAGTTAGTTTTTTAATTGATACGGGAGCAGACATTGTAGCAATACCAACCCACATTCTTAACAAAAGTATTGTTATTAATAAATGTAAGGATAAAATACGAGGACCTGATGGAAAACCATTGCAGGTATTAGGGTGGGTGTGTGTAGAGATAAAATATAATGATAAGGTGTATAGTGGTAGAGCCTATGTTATTGAAAATTTAAAATCTCCTATTTTGGGACGGCCTGCTATCAAAATAATGAATATTTTAAGTTTGTGTAATATGTACAAAAATAACAGTGTTGATAAATCAGAACCAGATAATAAGATAAAGGAGGGCAAAGAATTTGTTGATATTATTCGTGAATTTCCAGAAGTGTTTAATGAATTGGGTGTGTTTAAAGATTCTTTTACTATAACATTGGTTGATAATCCAAAACCATTTGTGCAGACAACACCACGAGTTGTACCAATTCCATTATTAAATAAAGTAAAGGGAGAGCTAGATAGACTAGTTTCTATAGGCGTACTGTCTCCTATTGAGGAGCCCACATTATTTGTGTCACCAATAGTAGTAGTTCCTAAAGATAATGGGGGAGTTAGAATATGTGGAGACTATACTCAATTGAATAAAAATGTTAAAAGGCATATTTTTCCTATACCTAAAGTAGAGACTACATTGGGTAGGTTAAAGGGTGCAAAGTTTTTTTCTAAAATTGATGCAACAACAGGTTTCCACCAAATAAATTTAAGTGAGGTTTCTAGAAAACTAACTACCATACTTACACCATTTGGTAGATACATGTACAATAGATTACCAATGGGCCTCAATTGTGCACCCGAGTATTTCTCCATGAAATTTTCAAATTTGTTTCAAAATCTTGAAGGAATAGTTCAACATGTTGACGATTTATTGTTATATACTGAGGACATAGAAAGTCATAAAATACTACTTAGGGAGGTGCTTAGGAGGTTATCAAGAGAAGGTATTACAATTAATAAAGAAAAGTGTGTGTTTGGAGTTAAAACAGTTTCATATTTAGGCCATATTATCACTTCTGAAGGAGTATCTTTAGATCCTGATAGAGTAGAAAGTATTAAAAGATATAAAAAACCAAACAATAAAAAAGAATTAATGCAGTTCTTAGGGCTTGTTAATTATGTAGGAAGATTTATACCAGATAAGTCAAATATATTAGAACCACTGAATGAACTCTTAAAAGATGGGGTTTTATATTATTGGGGGAGTTATCAAGAAAATGCTTTTGACAAAATAAAACAGTTGATTCAAAGAGCACCAGTATTATGTCATTATGATCCTAACAAAAAAGTAATTATTTCTGCAGATAGTAGTTCTTATGGTTTGGGGGCAGTATTGATGCAAGAAAATTCTAAAGGGGAAAGGGAGGTTGTGTCATTTGCAAGTAGAACATTAAATAGAACAGAAAAAAATTATGCTCAGATTGAAAAGGAATGTTTGGCTTTAGCATGGGCTGTTCACAAATTCAGAGACTATGTTGTAGGTATAACAGTTCTTTTAGAGACAGATCATAAACCTTTGTTGCAAATATTGCAATCAAAACCTCTTGATGATTTAACACCTCGTTTACTGCGGTTTCGATTACAGTTAATGCGGTACACATATGACATTGTTTATGTTCCAGGAAAAAAATTAGTTACAGCGGATGCATTATCTCGCTCACCCTTGCCCTACACAGTGCCGGAGGTCGATCTACAGATAAATAGCATTGAGTATGGAGGTGTGGGTGATCATAAATTAAATAAAATAAAAATAGAACAAGGAAAATGTAAGGTTTGTTGCCAAATTACCGAATATACTAAAAAGGGATGGCCACACAGAAAGTATGTACCTAAGTTTTTACAAATGTATTAGCAGTTTAGACATTGTTTTTCAGTAAAGAATGGATATTTACTTTACAACACTAGATTAGTTATTCCAGTAGCTTTACAAAAATTAGTATTGCAAGATATTCATCAAGGTCACTTAGGTATATCCAAGTGCAGGGAAAGGGCAAAGCAGAGTGTTTGGTGGTTAGGCTTATCATCTCAATTAAAAATTATAGTTGAAAACTGTCCTGAATGTATACAAGAAAGACACAATTTAAAAGAACCAATGATAGTAGAAGATGTGCCCAATAGAGCATGGCAGAAGGTGGGAATAGATTTATTTAAGTTTAATAATTATTGGTATATTGTAATTGTTGATTATTACTCGAGATTTATTGAATTATTTAAATTGACTAACTTAACAGAAGAAACTATTATAACTAAATGTAAAGAGACATTTGACAGATTCGGCATACCTGACATAGTACGTACAGATGGAGGGCCACAATTTAAAAGCAAATTTAAAGATTTTTCTGTCAAGTATAATTTTGAACATATTATAAGTAGTCCTTATTACTCACAGAGTAATGGGTGTGCAGAAGCTGCAGTTAAAATTGTGAAAATGTTGTTGAAAAAAAATACGGATATTAATTTGGCACTTCTGGTTTACAGAAATACTCCTGGTGAGTCTGGTTATAGCCCTAATGAATTAGTATTTAATAGAAAATTGAAAGAAATTTTACCTATTTATCCTGATCAACTTGATGTTAAAGCAAAATTACAAGAAAGATTTAAAGTAAAAAGGTCACAGTTTAGAAATAGAATGGCAACTAATTATAATAATAGACATAAGAGTTCACATCTAAGTGATTTGCAAATAGGAGAACATGTTTGGGTTATTGACCTGAGAAAATATGGTGTGATTGTAAGAAAGGCGAAGGAACCTAGATCTTATTATATTGATATTCAAGGGTTTACTTATAGACGTAATAGATGGCATCTGATTCCAGCGCCTTTCAATTCAAATAAACCTAATGTAAAATCAACAAATGTTGAACAAGAGTCTGAAGTTTGTTCAGAAATGGGCTTTGGTCAGAAATTTTTAGAAGGGGAAGAAAACAGTAAATCTGATTGTAATAATAAGTGTCAGGGAGATGAAGAAATAACAACAAATTTAAATAATAATAATAGTTTATTAGAAAGTAGTGATAATGAAAGCAATAGTAATGAACAGTTTTCCAGTGTTACAGAGGATAATAATTGTATAATTCAAGAAGAGTCGATGAAACGTAGAATAAGAAAGAGACCTAGATATTTAAGTGATTATGATTGTGAATTATAAAGAAATCTTGAGAGGAAGGATGTTGTGGTAGGGCAACACTAATGACAGCCCGCGCATATTATATTGTCGGTTAGAGATTATCTATGGAACTATGGAGGCTGGCTTGGCTAGGTTGTACTTTGTGAGTAGTGTGTTTGTTACAATAATAATAAAAGCTAATTCCTTGAATGTTGAGTTAATCATTTCTACAACTCTTAAGACTGACGGCTAATTTGCTGCATATCCACTTAAATACCAGCTGCTTTGCTTAAATGTTGTCATTTAAGCTATCTATAAAAACTTAAATGATTTGATAACTACTACAATAAAAAGTGTTCATCGTAAAGAAGTAGGGTTGGATAGTTTCGGCACGATTCTCATGTCACTATAACCCTACCAAATTTAAAACGTTGCCTAGCCCCCTACAAACGTTTCGGCAGTACAGCTTTTTAATTTTGTCAGACTATTATTTATCCATAAATGTTAAAATCGGCCTTTCTTGTTGTTTTGCCTTTTTCCGTGATTAAGTTGTTATTGTTCTATTTTTGTTGTTGTTTTGTTAAATATGGACGATGCCGGTGCAGGCTCGAGTGGCCTACAAAAATGACGCTCTAAGCCCCTACCCTCAACCTTTGACTAATTACACTTAAAATTAGAATTTATCAAAACAACAGACAGATAGTTTCAGTTTTAGTTCCATGTTGGCTTGGGAGTAAAAGATGAATTTATAAAATGCTGGCCTCATCTCAACCCCGAGGTATCGAAAAAATGGAAAATTTCCCGGCTCTTTCAGACTACCTAACATTCAAAGTTTCAACAAAACTAAAAATATTTTTTAAATTTATATTGAAAATAAAATGTTCTGCACTGCTGCTTCTATGACCCTCTTTTTTCTAATGTTATAATGAATGCACGGCCCGTTGCGAAGTGGGCGTCACCATGACGAGGTGCGTTTGCGGGACTGCAACCGATTAATTATTTGGTCTACGGCGATCAAATAGGTACTCATACACTCGCACAATAAAAATACAAGTAAGATTTATATTGTTATAATATAAAAAGTTTCCTTACAATTATGTAGTGGAATCACATCTTGGTTTACTTTCTGTGAATATCATTACGTCACCCTTTGGATTTCATATAGAATTTATAATTGTCCAAACAACCATTTTATTCTCAATTCCTGACATGACTTAAAATGGTGAAAGTATTTTTCAGTGATATTTTGGAGCGGCTAAGCTGAAATAAAATCATTTCCGGAGTGATAGACTTATTGAGATAAGAATTCAGCATAAAATTCTAGAATGGTGATTCTGCCATACTGATGAACACGTTTTTTAAATGTTATGATACAATTGCATCAGTCAGAGTCGTCAATCTCCGAAGAAGCTCGTCGACGGCGGCCTTGTGTTAAGCTCTGTAGCCACGTGGCGGACTTCTGTGCCGCCGAACGGCGCGGCGTGCGGCGTTCCACTGGTTCAGGTGACGGCTCAGGTTCCTTCGCGCGACCTCGGCCTCGCGCACGCCCACCACGTGGACCTCTCGACCCTCGCCCACGGCCTCGCACCGGTGCCTGTACAACTTCCATAAGGGGTTCCTCATCATCGCTGGAGAGAACGACAACTCGTTTGGAAGCCGCCGTTGTCTTACTGACTGGTGTCGACTGCGACTGCTTTCCGGCCGTATCCAGCAGCTCAATGAGCTTATCACCATCAGCAGCGTCAAGTTCTTCCTTACAGATGCGCATCCTTTCATCAGCCTCGGCTTCTGTTTCGGCGTTTGATTCCATGAGGGCCTGGACACACCGACTCTTATGTGCTTCAAATACGCGACGAAACACTTCATCATCATTCTTGAGTGTGAAATCACGAATGGCATCAGCAAGGGCGCGCACAGACAGCACGCTGAGCTGCTTGTCTACAGGCAATTGTTCAAAGTAGGAGTGTAGCAGTGACTCTACATCCACAGCATCTGCTGCAACACCGGCAATGTCAGCCTCCTCCATTGATAAATTATTCTCCTTGCGATCTCTTATTTTCTTTTCTCTTTTCATAATTAGTATATCATTAGGATTTGCCACCATTCCATTGAAATTCTGTCCAAATCGCACTCTATTAAAATCCTGCCCGTCACGTTCATAAAATACACTCAATCTTATGAGTGGCAATTTGGGCTGAGCAGAATCTCCATTGAGCAGCTGATTTGCTTCTTCTATAGCTTCGTTAACTTTTAATTTCAGAAACTCTTGTACCTTCTCATTTTTGTTTACCTCTTCTTCACCGAGATTCTCTTCAGACAAAACAAGCGTTTTAAAAATAAATGGCCTCACTGTTTTAAGTGCTACAGGAGTTAATATAAAATCAGTCTTGTATATCTGTAACAGCACACAGTGCTTAGGCAAAGCTTCTCCAGCAGCCAGTGAAGTGGCTACAGTGCTTCCTGGTTGTATCACTTGGAATCCATCTCTCTTGCTTCCTTTCATTTCTGTCACTTGGCTATCATGTTCATGGCCCCAAATAACTAAATCAAGAAATGAAGGTAATACACATTCACGGATATAGTTACTGGGACCCCTATCAGCTCTATTTTGGTGTAAAGTCAAAATATTGAACCAGTTATCACTTTCATCAGGTCTTTCCATCTCTACTTTTTTTTCCTCAAACAAATGTGATAAACGTTGATCTTTAAGGTGACTCAAACCGTACATTGCTAATTTTGTCTCACCTTTCTGCATAAGTACAGGTGATACACGTACGTGAGTATAGTCACTCCACTTGCCAAAGTAGTTCACTAAACCAGTTATGGACAAAATATCAAGGGAACTGATGCTGCCTTGTCCCACTGGATCATCATGATTTCCGTGTATCGATAAAATGGGATATGAAATATTTAAATTAGGATCTTCATAGTTTACAACACGAGCGAAATTTTCGAATTGATCTGATAATAATTCTATTGCGATTGGTTTATCTCCAAAACAATACTTCCTTATGATCTGGGTACATTTAAACAAACAACTTGGTGAGGGTTTAGCGTGATCGAATAGATCACCTCCAAGTAAAATTAAATCGACATCAAACTGAACAGCATGTGATAATACTTCTTCAAAAGCGATAAAACTGTCTTCACCGCGGACAGGATCATTTTCCAAATAACCTAAATGAATATCAGATGCAATTAAAATTCTGATAGTATCCTCTTGGGACCATTTTGAAGCATCGTTTCCAATCATATTGATTTAAAAACTTAAACTTATCATATCAAACAAAATACAAAAGTTAATTATCACTATAAACAAACAAATAACGACAAACACTAAACTTTTCTATTTCCGAAAAAACGCCGACCGAAGGCGCGTAAATCACAGCAATTTTATCACAGAACACACTTACTTCAAAAGATGAATTAGTGATGTGTGAAATCAATTACCATTAATCGATTTGAAAAAATCACTTGCTATAAATTATGATTTCCTAATAAAAAATTAACAGTCGATTATTTCTTATTATTCTAACGGTAGCAATAGGAATAGTTTAAAATGTCGGTATAGTACCTACTTGCTTCGATGGCTCAACAACCCTTAGCAGATCGCAAGTGTGAATATTATTAGTAGATTTTTTATTGCTTATTATGGCAACCCTGGAATATGTACTCGCACGAACAAATAGGTAACTTTACTCTATGGTCGGGGAACTCCCGATGAATGAATGAACTGATCTTACAGTTTTATTTTAACGAATCATATTACACATACCTATACCAAAATATCATTTTTTTAATTTTTGTCTGTCTGTTTGTTCCGTCTAATCTCTGAAACAGCTGGACCGATTTTAACGGGATTTTCATTTTAACGGCAGACAGCTAATATGATAAAGAATTCCGTTCCTTTTAACTAACACATTAAAAAACTGAAATTTGAAAAGTTCGAAACTTAGATATCAATACAAATACGAAAAAGTACAAATAGAATATGAATTGTTTATTAATATTTGAAAACCAATTTACTTTTAAACTTGAAAGAAAACCAAAAAGGTTGTCATGGAGAAATCAAGTACCGTAGCGACATCGTTTGATTTCGAGAACTAATGTTGTAACGGTGTGCCATACCATTGTTTATTTTCCTAGGTTTCAGTATGCAAACTTTTTGTCTTTGAAATTCAACATCATTTCTTTTTATTATTCATCTTTCGTAATTTAAAATTGAAAAACCGGAAGGGTTGTCATGGAGAAATCAAGAACGTACCGTGGCGACATCTAGTTAAATTTCGGGAACTAATTTTTTTTTAAATACTTCCTCATTGTTAACCTGACTCGGAATCTAACACGAATAAATAAAAAAGGTTTACTTTACGTATTTCTTTATTGCTAATCTCTACTAATATAGCAACTGCTGCGTTTATGTAAGATCACTAATGACAGCTGTCAAAAAAGCAGAGAGTTTTGCCGCTAATTTAGTTGCCATCTTAAGGTCAAGAATAAAACCAAATAATTAATAATGATTAATCATCGCCATCTTTCATTCGTTTCATTTTCATTTTACATGTAGAAATTAATTTATTCACTTGACATTGGCAGAATTGTGCGAAATGCGCAGATAAGCCATTAATAAAAGAAGAAGACCAAATAATTGTATGCCGCTGTGTGTGATATAGGCAGCGGGCAAGGAGCTTTTATATTAGTAATTAAGTTCTTTGGCGGTAATAAATGGCTGAAGATGATATCACAGATAGTCAAGGAAGCCATTTTAGCAAAAACATTTGATTATTTGACATCTTACTTACGAGTATATTCATCTCTTTAGGGAAGTGAAATAAATTACGTATTTATGCTGAATATTTAAAAAAATATCTTTGTTGTCACGATCTAAACAAACATTTGGCACAAATAGAATCGCGCCATCTTTGAATATGTACTGGCAGCCCTGTATTATGTTCAAGTGCTAATGAAGATATATCCAAGCCATAGCTTTTTCAATAAAAAAAAATGTCAGTGTCATAGATTGAGTTACGAAAGGAAGTGGCAAAAGCAAAGAATCGCGAAAAACATAGATACAATGTTTATTTCGTTTGTGTATTTGGATTAGAGGAAATGTTTATTTCATTATAATGTCAGGGCTTACTTCACCGTGTCGGGTGAATCATGGACTTTTCACATAAAAATGTGCAAGATTTAAAGGAGAAAGTGTCGTGTGAAATCCGAGAGTTGCCTTCAATGATGTGGAAGGGGTCGATTGTGCAAGCGAAGGCTAGCTGCGTTCAAAGAGCTGCGGCCCTGACTCTAGGATTCTTCGTTTTCATTGTATGTTTTTACTTATTACAATCGCACTCCACTAACATAGTTATAAGAATTTATCAATTTTAAATTGCCTTTATCAATCTCTAAAAACGATAATCGAGGACTTATTTTCGTTGTTTACTTCCCTGAAAAAACATAAAAACACTATGCAGCGTCTTTAGGGAAAGACGCTGCATAGTGTTTTTATGTTTCTTATATATTTATTTATTAAATTACCAATTAATAACGAAATACGAAAAAAAAAAGATTATTAGATAAAAGACTTTAAAATTATAGTATAACTGTAACTAAATCCAATCACTCCTCATGGTTGAATTGTTTGTTTTACAACCATCGATTTTCACAAATTTTAAAACGATTAATCTTATGTTAAGTTAGCGGTACATGCAATTAGAATAGGATAATAAATATAATACAGATTATTATGAAAAGAAGAATAGTAGTGCATGCTTTGTGTGTTACTTTATATTGTTTACAGTTTTGAACAATGAAACAGCCCTCCATTCCTTAAATATTCTATATTCCCCTTGGCTAGATTTTACTTCTACTTACAGTATGTTGTGTAATTTTTAAGGGTGTAAAATTCCTGTTATTCCACATTAATTCTCAGATTAATAGAGAATTTATTTATAAATAAAATAGTTGTCAACTAGCCTATTATTATTTTATTGATAATTATCTTGGATATATATACCTTGATAATTATAAAACACAACACAAACTATATTTGGACTTTAGGACTTGTTAAAGGGGAATCATCTTTAAATAACTGTGTTTTTATAATAGCATACACCTACCTGAATACAAAAAATGCCCCTTTTTATTTTTAAATTTTCATTTTACTTTTTGTTAGAAGTGATTTCACAGCTATTTTTTTTTGTATGTATAATTTTTATAATTTAAAACAACAAAAATAAAACTGTATTAATCCTGAATTCATTTCTGTATTAAAAAAAATGTTGCAATTAACTGTGGATAATTATCAGATATTTATTGACAATTATCCAAAAAAATAATTATCTTGATAATTACAACTCCTAGCTTGTTCATATTATTTTTTGTATTCCCGTTCATACATTTTGTATTCCCCGACCATGTGAATGACTTAGTCGCAAAAAGGTTCTTTTCTCATATCCAATCGCAAAGACCTGCTATAGAAATATTACATTTCTTAGAAGATCTTGTAGAACATACAACCAAAAATTGTGCGAATTTGACATCTTTTATGCAAACTTAAAAGAATTTAAGAAAAAATCAGTAGAAATTTTATCATATGTCTCATGTCTCATTTTTATTTATTATTTTATTTTTTAGTCCCATTTAATTATTTATATTGTGTGTATTATAGGTAAAACCTTTTTATTTTTCTCTTGTTGGAATGCTTACTTTGTTAACTGTGTGTTTAAGTAATGAAATATGGAACTATAGGTTTTTAAGTAGCTCTTGTTTTTTATAATGAACACATTTGTTGTGAAACTGTTTATTCCTTAATAAATAAATTAAAAAACTTATTTATCTTATTTTTCATTGTAATACATGTATGTGGTGATTGTTAGCTTTCAATCAATTTCTTTCTATATTATTACTTGCTTTATGTTTATGATTATTTTTTAATTTAGTTGCCTTTTTTGTTTTGAAAAAGATTTTGTTCCCTTACTGTACTATATATATTAAATATTTAAAAATACTTACTTGGTGGTTTAATTATGAAATATAATAAAGCTAAATTTATTGTTTAGTGGTCATGCAGATTGGGGCAGTGTGCAGACTTAGTGATCGAGATTCCGGGTTCGGGTGTGGGCGGAGGAGGCGCGGATGGTGGTGTATACCGGCTGGACTATCGGCCACCGCACGGCTCGCCCGCGCCCAATCACACCGTACCCGCACGCGCGTCCACCATTAACTTCCAAGGCCTGCCTGGCACTAAATACCACTTCATGCTCTACTACTCTAACGCGACGTTTGCGGACCTCCTTACATGGAACCAAACTATCATCACTGGTATTTTTATAAAATAATTATTTGCATGATCAAACAAAACAACATATTTTTTATATTTGTTTTAAAATAGATTTACTGTGTGTTTTCTGAGGTTTTATGTAGATAATGAACTTTTCTATATTGTCTCGGGTCTGGGTGTTATGGTACCTTCGAAATTTCAGATGCTCTGTACTCATCTTGGAATCTGAGCAATATATATGTTGTCTAATATTTATTTATTTATAACATATGTTACCTACATATAAAGTAAATTTACACATAAGTATATAGAGAAAAAAATACCTGTATACTTTCATTTAAAATATTTTTGATAAATTGTCAATAACCCTAGGGAAAATTCAATGTTTAAGAATGACAACTTTTTTCTACTTTTTTTTAAATGCTTTATCACACTTGATCAAAATCCTAAACCTTCAAACTAAAAACTTCCTATAAGTCAGTTTTAGTGTGAAATATGTTGAATTTATTTATGCTGTGTACTGATCACATACTCATTCAAATTCAATAAAATTTATATGTAACTCCTTTCTAAATTTTACACTTTCTGACAAAAACAGAACCATCAGAATCTTAGTTTGTATATACCTACATAATAGCTACTGAGTGTTTTGTCAGCGCCGGAGCCGCCTACCAACTTGACGGTGACACTGGGCCGCAACAAACAGGCAACTATTGCCTGGTCACCGCCCGCGCATGGAGACTACACAGGTTTCCGTTTCAAGGTATTCACATAAAATTCTCAAGTGTTAGTATCAAGCATTATCAGTTGATAAAAAAGTTTAAAGAAACATGTTATATGTATCTGGTTAATCTGCAACAGACAGCCAAGTGTAAATCAGAAATATAAAAAGCAACAGTATATTTAGTGGCCTTGCTCTCCTTGTAGTGTCTATTTCCTAGTTTCCTAGTCTATAATATATAAAGCTTAATTATACTAGAATATAAAGATAAATTTATGTGGCACAATACAAAGCAATGCCGTCGTCTGCGGCAATTTTTTTGGTACGAGTTTGAAACAAAATGTTCGAAAACGAAACCGCCCATAGGGCGCTCGCGTTTAATAACTGCCGCCACCGAGCTTGCTGGCCGCTTCTGTCATATTATTGTTATACCGTGATGGTCCAAGACGATGCTCTTAGCTGTCTCAGGGAGCGCCCGCGTGTTAGTGCATTGGACACCCTGCACTATAGGTAAAGCCACCCCTGGCTATCTATGCAATACACCACTATCAGGATTGACAAAATGCCACGGAGAGCCTATGGCAAAACTGCAGTAGATTTTGATAGTGACTAAGTATAAACACATATAAAAAACCGTCAACTACCGTATGAGATCACACTTATAATGTAATATTATTGCTTTATATCATGTTAGCTCATTCATTTCTCAATATACGTTCTCATGTGTTGTTTCCCCTATTGCACTAATCCGCAATTAATGTTTCTTTATTGGTATCGTTTCCTTTAGCCTAGGGTCGCCTGGTAGAGATTGCTATCTTAGCAATAAGGCCGCCTTTTGTGTTACTGTATCTAGTTTTATGTAGGTACCTTTCTTACAGTATTTCATAGTGCAATAAAGAATATTCAATCAATCAATCTTACATCCTTCCCTAGCTGTTTTAAAAGCCAGTTGAAATATTCCGATCAATATCGGATGGGATACAGTCAACGATCATATAGCAGGAGTCGTGGTAAAGGAAGTAATGTCGTTAACTTTCGTATGATGAGTAGCTGTTTAAAGTATTATGTCCTTGGGGTCACACAGGTGATCCCGCTGACGGAACGTTCAGAGGGCGGCGCGCGCAACATCACGGTAGAAGGCGCTGGTAACTGGACTCATACACTACGCGATCTTTCACCTGGCGCCACTTACCAGCTGCATGCGTTCACACTGCTTCACGACAAGGAGAGTGCCGCGTATGCATCGCGTAACTTCACCACCAGTGAGTCCAAACAGAACTATACAAAAATTACATGCATGCAGAACAAACTTATCATCCCAAAAAATTCTAGATTTGCGTCCAATTGGGTCGCTTATTCTTTTAATGCACTCTATTGTATATTATGTGTGTGCATGCAGCCGAATGTTTTTGATGTTTTTGATTGTTTGTTATGATATAAAAAAGCTAAAAATAGATTTTGTTCAGAATCAGCCACTTCTTAACATGTAATCAACATTATAAATATTATTGCGACTGTTGAAATTTATAAGACCGTTCTTAACTTGTTAATATTTGTACTGATAGTATCTTATGCCGCTACATACCCTAATATATACTTAATGAAGCGATGGCTGCTTCATGCTCTTCAGATATGCTGCTTGTGAACACAAGTATATTTATTATTGTCGAGTTTTTAAATTACCTATTTACTGTAGAAACAATTGGTGAGGTTAATACTCAACTTATTATTATCAGTCTTTCAATTATATTTTTATGTAATGAAGCGATGATAAACAATGTTATTCTGAGATTATCTGTAAAGGCAAACGTAATTTTACTGTCAGTTTAAAATTAAAATCAATCTTGCTTAATTCAACCGAGTGAACTGATGTGATATATTTAATTGTCGCGTTGCATGTTGTATTAAATGTCGCTCCGCGTGATGACGACACCGACTTCACACCATCGCTATTAAACTTTCTTTACGCATAACAGCAATATCGGAATGTTCGTTATTCGGTTATCACCGTTACGGGTAATTACAGCGCTATTTACAAATTCTTTTAGTCCAGTTTATATTATTAGCAGACATTTCATGTTAATATTTTGTTTTTAAAAAGAACGCGTCGTTGTAACAAAATTAACTAGAATATAAAATGAAAGCCTTGACATTTAGCGGACGCTTAAGTGTTCTTTATAGTCATTCAATAAATTGTAACATATATTTTAGTCAGAGCGTTAGTAAATTTTTCAATAAAAGCCCAGAATTTTGTCAATACGAAATTATACAGATCTGTGAGTAATCACAGTATGGCATCACACATTATTGTAATTTATAAATGACGCAATCTGGAAAACTTAAAAATATACATTAATAATATTGTGGCTATGACCTCGTTTTTGATGTCGAGCTTTTGTGTCATAGAGAAAATAAAAAAGTAAAAAATTGTATTAGTGAAAACGGAACCTATAAAGGGTCAGAAACGTCAATAAAACTAAATTCAAACGCGTTGAAACCGTTTAAAAGTTGTTTTAGTTTTAGATTTAGACAAACTGTCTTAGAGCATTAACCGACTGGTTGCACTTCTTTTTGAGGCATGGTTTGCGACAAGTCGTTGAATTGCGTAACTGGTGTAGTTGCTCGCACAGATCAATCAACACCAAATCTGCGGTTACCAATTTTGTAAACTTGCAATCCAAAAATGCTGCATATGAAAGCAATATTTTAATTAATCTTTATTATAACCGCCATTATTCAACGCTTATTATCTTACGAAATTGACGACGAAAAGACTGTCTATCAACAACGTGAATAAGTTTTTATAACTATTAATCATAGTCAGCTATTTAACTGTGTGACCTAATTTCTTGCTTTATTTATTATAATAAATAAAGTTTATGGTATAAGAGTATTTTATTAAGTTATACAAAAATTATTTTATTTTAAGAAATATTTCTACTAAGGATCAAATCAAATTTAAATTGAGAGTATATCGAATCAAGGTCGGCGTTGTGCTGGGTCGCTTCCGAATATAAAGTGTAAGTTAGCATAGGTTCGATGGTCGGTCCAACGAGGCAAGTGTATTGAGCTAGCCATTGTTAAAACGTCACGCCGCATCAAAGTGTGATGTCATGCGGTTGTATGCCGGCGGTGCTCAGTCAGAGGACGCCTTTTGTTCCCAAATTATGTTTGTCCGTAAACGATTATGTATTATTGCTCTATGCATCAACTGTGTCGGAATATAACACACAGAATATTCTATTGTAATTATGGTTTATGACTAATAAAAAGTAACGAATCAATAGTAAAATTAACAATCGATAAAATAATTCGAAAGTCACAAATAACAAATATATGTTAACTGCGAACACATTATGATGAAATTTCATTCAAACATAAAATATAATTTTACCGCTTTATTACTTCATGAAGTAAATCATGAATATATATTAAATCGAATCGAAATTATAATTTCGAAATCTATTAAAGGAGCTAATTCTAGATTGTCGCCGATTGAATATACTTTTTCCTTAATTGACACAAAACGGAGTTGAAACCAGTTATAAGGTTTTCCCATCTGATGTGTCTTGCCAACTAATCATATACAAATGTAACACCACAAATGTTTTGCGGTCTCATTCTTGAAATTAATTTTTATTTTGTAGAATTAATGAATACACAGTTTTGTCTAACCTTAATAGAGGGTTATGATTTATAGATTTCCCTGGTTTTTCTTATGTTCCCTGTATTATATACAAGATTGGAATCCTACCAAGCAGTGAACTCGGGCCTCTATTGTTTAACTTATGACATTCAATGTTAAACTTTTTATGCTGATTATATATAACGTGTAAATTAAAATCATCAAATCTCAACGTTTACATTGATTTTGATAATCAAATTTCATAAATAAAATTGTAATACGTTAATTTTAATGTGATTAATTCAAGTACAATACATGTTTATAAATGATTATTTAATTATATTAAGAATGGATAACACGTTCATTATGACAAAGTCGATTTATTGTGTTGTTTTTCATGATTCATTAACATTACAAAAAATATATTTATAACTATAGCTTTATTTATATACATGCTGATGAATCTGCTAATATAAAAAAGAATTTGTAGAACTAGCAAAAAAATATTGAAGTACTCTATACAACACAATTTGAAAGTTTCTGTTATCGAAAACCTCTGTTATCATATTGAATATTTTTTGTTTCCCCATTTGGTGGATTTAGATTTGATAGGGAAATGATATTTATAATTTGTTGTTTTTAACTTCATGGTCATTATAACGTTAAGGGTCAAAATGTTTAGGATAAATGAAAATATATATAGGAACTATTAAATTCACTTTTATTATGTGTTTGGCTTTGCATATAACCTCATTGTCTATTTATTTGTTTTATTATTTATGTAGGTAGTTTAACACTTTAAGATAGCTGTACTATCCGTTCAGTAACTATTAGCATTTATAGTAGTCATTATGCTTATAAAGGTTACAATTAGTTTTCTCTAAGAAATGTTACTGTTATGAAAACTTTTGAAAATAAAAGTCCTATTAGTGATAGAAATGTTAACCATCAACTAGCAATAAAATAAACAATATCATATATGAAAAGAAGCATAAAGTATAGTAGAAAAAAAAGTACTAAAAGGTCAAATATCGATTGGATTAAAATCTGTTCAAATATTACTTATTCACATTAAACCAAAACCAAACCTTTCGAGTACTAACTACATAAAGTCAAGTTTTAATATATTTATTGCTCAAATTCAATGTAAGAATGACACTAGCTCCACAATACAAGTGTTTTAAGATTGATATTCCTTTGCAGAAACATTTAAACTTTTATTTAATTAACTCTACGTGGACACCGTTCTTAAAACAAAAATAATGTTCACGTAAGAAACATCAAAATTTATAATCGTAACATCAACTCGAAAGATAACATTACCTTTTATCTAAAGAACATTGGTTAGGAGTAAATCGCTGCCTCTGCTTTGACTGTCGTATGCGTCAATGTGTTCTAGTTGCGTTTTTATTATACATATATATGTGCTATTCCGATCACTGCTCACGCGTACATGAAAGAATGTTCAAACATATTAATTTACCATATCAATCTCTATTGTATAAAAAATAATTTGAAATTACAGTAAATCGAGACATTTTCTGACAATATTACCAGAAAAATTATTATAATAACCAGACAAAGCCAAATGGCGCTGACAAAATAATATTGTCCTGTCAAAGAGACAAATGAAAATTATAAATAAATTACTGACCTAATTAAATTGCTTTACTTTAAATGTATTAATCTCGTAAACAACCTGTTAGAAAATGTATTCTACAGGCGAGTTGTAAGTATATTATGTTTATCGTGAGCGGTGATCGTGTGTTGTGTTTGTGTTGTGAACGTGCTCGGTGGATGGTCCGCAGGGCCCAATACTCCGGGTAAGTTCATCGTGTGGTTCCGCAACGAGACCACACTCCTCGTCCTGTGGCAGCCGCCATACCCGCCAGGCGCCTACACGCATTATAAGGTACTTTAAAGTGACACACCTGAACCACCTCTGCTTATAATTAAATCAAAAGTAATTTTTGCCTGCATATTAGCGATGAGTTATGTAAGCTTTTTTTTTATTCCTGAGACAAAAAGTTTGTAACTTTTAATTTACTCTATTGAGAAACTTCTATTAACACAAAATTCCCGTATATCCCGCATGAATGTTGCCTGGTTTTTTTGTTCAGTGAAACTTCTGTCGCTCATTGCATGTTATGAATGGAACACAAGGCCATCAACTTACTTTCATAGGTAATGGAAGCTCCGTTGTGAATCGACTCATTGTCATAATTCGCCTTCTCATGATAGTGTAACAACGGATAGTGACAAAATGCCATGAATGCTGCCTTTTATGCATACAGAAAATTTTGATCAGCTCATTTTAGTTGATCATATAATATCTTTATAGAGTTTCGATCTGCACCTTTTATAATAATATTTTGGATAATAATAAATAAAGTAATCATAACATTGATAAGAAACAATGTTCTAAAGTGTTCAATAACAGACAAAATGCTTAAGTTTGAATATTATTTATCTGAATATTATTGATTATTGATGAATATTATTGTTTTTATTTATTATACAACTTTACACTTCCTTCATCCTAGAGAGGGGAAGTAATTAATGTTTGAATATTTATATATTCCTATCGTTGGATTATATAGATATTATATATTATTCCACAAATACTTATTGTTCAAATAAAATTAATCTGCATGACAAACACTCAAATATTTTTGTTACTCAATTTCATTATATATTTTTTGTTACTTAAGTGAATGTAGCATAGTATTGTGGATTCGGTGCATTAGGTGTCAATAGTGCCGCCGGATGCGCGCGACTCGGAGCAGTATGTCGAAAAGGAGGGGGAGCCTCCGGGGCCCGCCCAGGCCGCGTTCAAGGGCCTGGTGCCGGGGCGCGCGTACAACATCTCGGTGCAGACTGTGTCGGAGCCGGAGATATCGGCTCCGACCACGGCACAGTACCGTACAGTGCCGTTGCGCCCGCGCAACGTAACCGTCTCGTCCGCTACACGTACCGAGACAGCGTTCACAGTTACCTGGCTGCCGCCGCTGGAAGAAAGGTGAGGAGCACGCCATGTTACGTTCACAATTACAGTATTTTTATGGATTTACTCAACAAGGAATAGTTAGTTCCTCCGTGTTTATCTATCCGTGGCTCAGGGTAGGTTATGTTTTTGTCATAATAAATTTTGAAATGAAATTAAATGAAATGAAAATTATTTTCAAGTAAGCTTGTTACAAGCACTTTTGTCCAAAAATATTTTTTCTCCTACCACTTGTTCAGGACGTCTTTTAGCTGACAAGAAGAACAAGCGAAAGCAACTTACCAGCTTTTATCATAAGTAATGACATTTACATAAATCATGTCATTACCAAAATAATACATATATTGAACAATAATAAATACAAGTTTCAAAATCTGTAGGACATAGGTTGGTACACACCTATAATTAATCGTTATAGAACAGAGCGAAGGCTATTAATTCCATGCATTTCGATCCTTAAAATAATCATCAACTTTATAATAGCCTTTACTCATAAGTATATTCTTTACATGAATTTGAAATTTATTAATGGGTAGGTCGATTACATTTTGTGGAATTTTATTGAACATAGCAATACATTTACCCAGAAATGATCCTCTGGTTTTTTGAAGTCTGAAGCTTGGAACGGCAAGTTTAGTTTTATTTCTTGTGTTAAGATTATGAACACTACTTTTTTTGTAAAGGAATCGTAATGTTTTCTTGTGTACATAATATTCTCATAGGTGTATTGAGAGGCAACAGTCAATATTTATTTCTTTAAATATTTCTCTGAGAGATTCCCTAGACCGTAAATTATATATATCACGGACAGCTCTCTTTTGTAGAATAAAAATATCCTGAATGCTAGCTGCAGAACCCCACAACAATATACCATACGTCATTACACTATGAAAATAACTAAAATATACCAATCTTGCCGTTTCAACATTTGCCAAGAGTCTAATTTTCTTAACAGCAAAAGCTGCAGAACTCATTCTACTTGACAAGCTATCAATATGAGGATCCCGTTGCAGTCGGGAATCTAGTGTAATACCAAGGAACTTTGTCGATTCTACTAACTAAACTTTTTCACTATTTACATTTATAAGTGTACTGACATGCCTCACATTAGGTAATGCAAACTTTATACATTTCGTTTTATTTGAATTGAACTTTAAATTTATTATTATCAAACCACTGTAGAACATTGTCGAGAGCATTATTTACATCGTCAAAACAATCATTACCCCTCTCAACTTAAAACAGTAAAGAGGTGTCATCTGCAAATAATACTGACTCGCACAAATTCTTCGTAAAGTGAGGAAGATTATTAATATAAATTAGAAAAAGCAATGGTCCTAATACCGATCCCTAAGGTACGCCCATAGTAACTGGTGCCCCTGCAGAAATTCTAACTTTTATTACACCTCTCCTTGTCTACATGATATTTGATTTTTGGTTGTGTAGTCCAGTCGCCGAACAGAGAGAATTTCGTACATGACCCGGCATTACAAATCTCTTTCACTCGTGCGCAAATATATCGCTATTGCGCTCGCTAAACCTAAAATGTTTACAATATTTATCAGTCGGCATAAAGGTGAAGGTACGAAATTCACTCTGATCGGTGGCTTTTATTAAAAGTTTACCTTTGTTCTGATATCATGTTTCTCCCTGGTAGCGAGTTCGAGAAATACCAGGTTTCTGTGAGTGGTGGTGGAGGCAGTGGGGGTGGGGGCGGTGGTCGGCGGTTAGCGCCAGTGGTTAAGACACGAGACGCGGCGCCGACGGCCACGTTCGAGGGACTGGAGCCAGGAGCACATTACACCGTTACTGTCAAGACCATGTCGGGAAAAGTCACCTCGTGGCCAGCTAGCGCGGACCTTACGCTCAGTCAGTATCTCTATACTAACATCACATTATAAGTTAATTGTGTCACTACAGGGACACCGGCCTAATATATGGATAGAAAAATAAAGCGAGAACGGATCATTATTTATATACGCAGATGTATTTCGGATTGACGAATGCTAATGCCTAAAGAAACAGTCGGAATCCACCCCAACCGGCTTGTGTAGCATTGAAAAGCTGAAAATGGCAATTTTTATATATCTATCGACTTTTATAATATCATTTATGTAAGCCGATAGATATTCAGGGTCTCAATCACATAAAGATAGAAATCACACTTGTGCTGGTAAACCTTGTAACTGACAAGTTTTATAAAAACGAAATCAGTTTTACCAGTTGATGCAGCTCAAATTTGTCTATCGAATGGTGTAACTCATTTTTGTTTAAATAATTACAGTTAACAGGTATTAACATTATGGGTGGCAAACATACCGTGAATTAAAAGTTTAAACTGATAACGTAAACATTCCAACCTTTCCATTGTTACGTAGTGTTTTATCTTTTATTTATATTTAAAGATCTATAACAATCTATCGGATACGGGTACAAATGCCCTATCACCGTATTTATTTAAATATGGATATTGTTTAGAGCCGCTGCCCGTGCGCGATCTGCATTGGAAGAGGGTTGAAGGTTCCGAGGGCATCTTACTGAGTTGGAGTGCACCAACTGGCAGTACGCAGGATGAGTACAAGGTGTACATTGTATTAAAACACACAACTTTTATATCGTTTATTAGGTTTGTCTTATAATTTAAACTGATGCCAATATTAACTTATGAATTCTTCTTCTTTTAATTATAGCTTATCTACGTGTTTCGCAGAATTCTGCCAATGTCAAGTGAATATATTAATTTCTACATGTAAAATGATAATGAAATGAATGAAAGACGGCCATGAACAACCAACTCATGAATTCACCCGAGCAGTATATTGGCGCGAATCTCATCTTAAGTCAATATCACGGTGACAATTCACTGACAGATAGTGATTAACGTAATGCAATCGATAAATAGTAATTTTCATAGTATTCGATATTTTTTGTCTAACCATTGCTACATATTACATCATAGCACTGTTGATATTATATCGATACTTATCAGACAACTCTGGGTATATTCACCATTTTTAATAAAACAAAATTATCTTGAATATCTGAGAATATATGAGTGCAATGAATTTAAAACTATTGATCGGATTTAAATCAATTTCACCAATAGGAAAGTTAAGGTGTATAAATCATTTAAGTTTATAAGATTTCTTATATTTTCACGCGCACTATCCATAAAAGAAATAACTTTTAAACGGATTCATCGCGTTTGTATTTTTCGTATTTACAAATACGAAAAATACGCGTAATATTTTTCGTTAATATAGAAAAATAATATGGAAAAATATCAGAATATCAGAAAAGAATAATATGGAAAAATTATCGTATGAGAATACATGTAATTGTAATATCCCTTTCAAGTCGCAAGTGTATATAGGTACAAACTAGAATGTGACTGGGATCTCGAATCTCGGGCAGACAGAAAGGAGCATAGGAACTCGCGTTAGGGAACATGTAGCTGACGCTAGCATAGGTATGAAAACAAATCTGGAGTGTGTGGAAATGCGTTAGGAGGACCCAAGCATTCCTATAATGATACGCGAGGCTATTGAAATTAAAAAACATCCGAATTGTAATATAGATGAAGGTAAGAACCAAAGGCATGGGATCCAGTAATTAGTCAAATAAATTCACAATCCAGATCAAACATTGTAGAACCAAAAGATGCAGTTAGTTCATTCTGTAAATATTAAATCTGTAATATTAAATTGGAACTAGTGGTAGTTTACGGTAGCCAAGGGTAACCAAAAAAACCCAAATGTATTTTTAAATAATTTAAGAAATGTAAACGTTTCCATAAAACATAAAAATGTTGTTTGTGAATGTGTCCAAAATTATTGTTTTGAAGGTAGCTATACTCTTAATTAAAACGACAATCATGACCTCTGTCAGGTCACGGTACCTGTAAAGGTTCCTGAAACGTCCATAAAAAATACATACCCGATGAAACTGTTTAAAAGTTATTTCATTTATCATTTGAGCTTCTTATGTTAATTAGCTGAATAAAGAAAATAATTTATGGGAAGAAGCCATATCAAGTAGGAGTTTATTGTCTAATAATGAGTTTTGCAATAACTGAATCCTTATGTGAGACTATCTTACTCTACTGTTTGTCATGGAAAGTTGAATATATCAATTCAAAAATACTGTGATAGTTTTGTTGACATTTAATATTTGTATGTTACGGATATAGATATCGTACCACGAGGCGGGTCCATCGCGTGACGACAGCAACACTTTGAGCACCGCTGCCACTGAGATCACTCTAGACGCGTTGTTGCCCGGACGCAATTACACCGTCACTGTGAGTACAAGCATGCTATGTCAAATGATATTAGTTTCGATAGTGAAACACAAAAACTTAAATTTACAATGAAATAAACATAGATATTCTGATTTTGAGTTAATAAAATTGCATGATTATCTTTATGTTAAAATTAAGAGTCGAGTTTTTGTCTATGTATCACAAGACAGTGTGACATCGCTGCGCCAGAAAAATCTCTACATCTGCTAGGTTAGTCGTAACTCTATTAGTACACCGTCACCGAAACTATGCGAATGATAACAGGCTTGACACCTTCCGAAAACCAAAATTCGTGACATTCAGAAACTCATCAGGGACTGCCACCCGTCCCGAAACTGCCATCCTGAATGCGAAATATGTGCGTCTGTGTAGCGTTTTTCGCAGTTGGCTGCGAAACCGTACTGACAAAGACGCAGCTATTTCGTCGAGCATATAATAGAGCGATGCAATACATTGCGTTACAACTGACAAGATCTCGTAAAAGTTTCGTATTGTCAGTGTACTGACGGCGACTATTTACAAATAACGGATATAAATTATTTAAGCTGATTACAGAATATGAAACAACTCATACGTTAAAATTCTGAGGTTTTGTACTGGTGTGCGGAGGTTCATATTTTCACACAAAGAGATCTAAAATATACCATTCAGATTAATTTACGTTATTCAAAACATTTAAACTGGTTTTAAACCGAATCTTACCAGAAGCAAAGAGTACTAATATTTATTAATCTAAAAATAATATGATTTTTCTTTTTATACATTCGAACTACAATATTTCCCCGAAAAACGTTGTTGAGCGTGAAACCGATGTAACAAATATGCTGACACAATATTAGAGCAAATAAATGTTTAATTTGATTTATTCATCCGTCAGGTTTGCGGTGTATCGCGCGGCGTAGAAGGTAACGAGAGCGGCGTGAGTGTGACGACGCGTCCTCTAGCTCCGGTGGTACTGGCGGCGGCTGTGGCGGGCCCTAGGTTGCAGGTGGCGTGGCGGTCGGACGTCAACTCACGACAACAGATGTACCGGCTTCGATACGCGAGGCGGTCGCCCGCTCCTGATACACATACACCAGAACCATATATCACGGTAACTATTGTATAATGATGACGAGGGTTGTTCAAAATTTTGAAATTGGTCATCGCATAGCTATCGGATAAAAAATTAATGATGTTACATTAATAAAATTCATGAAGTTTAAAAATTTGCCTTCGAATAATTTTGTTAAATAATAATTATATATTTAAAAATCAACTATCAAAAATACAAGTTTTCACGTCTAATGAAACTAATTGGCGTGTAACGTCATTCGTGGGCAGAGGTCGCTAGTAAATATCAATCGATATTTATAACATTTATTGTTAGTTTGAGTATTTGTATAGAAAATTAACCAACCCAATGTGACTTACTTACTTACTTACCAGAAAATTATATATTACCAGAAATTTTTTGTAGGAATACGAATCCAATAGTGATTAATTTAAAACTTAGCAAAGATTAAATTAATCAGGGTCTATTTTTAAAAATGACTCTTAGGATTATTTTAATAATGCATACAACTATTCGATACTGGGTACCGGTACAGATGGAGACGACGGAAACTAATGCTACGCTAGAAGATCTGTTCCCGGGCGCGGTGTACGAGATAGGCGTAGCTGCCGTCAGCCACGGACTCAGCAGCGAATGGCATACGCTATACAAACCCGTCCGTGAGTATGCCACTGATCAAACTAACAATTTTTTCTCTGTACTATATCGGAATAACAGCTCACCTGAAATAAAATATAGGTTTGAATCGAAATTGTTTTTTTTTCTGTACATTACCACGAGCATACCCATTCCTGCACCATATTGATATATTAATTAATGAAATATTAACAATTAATTTGTTTTCAATGACGATTTAAGAAAATATTTCTCAACTACTTTATAAAATTGCTTTAATAAATTGGGAGCACTACTACGTAATATTTTTCATTTTATATGGAATCCCGTAAAAAAAGGCCGATTAAATGTATTTTAATAAATAATAAAATATATTTTATTGTTTTTATAGGTCCGTTGCCGCCCAAATGGTTACGTGTGGAGCGGGCATCATCTAATTCCCTACGTGCACGGTGGGAAGGGCCCGGCAAAGGGGCCCTGGGGTCCTTCCAGCTGCAGTACCGTGCTGACTCCACGCCACATCCACAGGTGCATTTACATATCGATATTCGCAAGTTGATGATCCCATCAAATTCATCCTATTTTAATTTCCCCACTAAAAAGACACTAGGTACATGTATGGATATAATCACATAAGGAAAGCTAGAATCCACCAGTTCCATCCACCAGTGGATATTAACTACATACACCTACCGAAGCACGATTGTGCATGATATAAACGGCTTTTCGTTATATATTCGAGCACCCCAAAGCGGAGATTATTTATAAAATATGTATATTTTGCACTGTACGTTCCCGTAGTTATCTCTGCCGCCGCTACCAGCGAGCGCAACTTTTGCGGAGTAATCCTGATTTATTTATCGATTATATATAGTAATTTTATTCTATGACTAAATGTTACTCTGATCCCATGACTTCGCTCACGTGTATGATGTAGCTTCTCATTGGTGAAAGAATTTTTAAAATCGATTTAGTAGTTTCGGAGCCTATTCGATGCAAACAAACATTAAAATCTTTCCTATTTATAATATTATCATAGATAAAAGACTTTGCTGTAACAGTAATTTTCTTTTTATGATATGATATGGCAATCTAATTACACGTAGTATGTATTGAGGGGAGATTGTTTGTATTGCTTGCTTGATTGTTATATTTATTTGAGTAGATCGGTGACGTAGTGGATAAGTGCCGCGGCCCGTGATCGTTATTGTTAAGCAACCTTCGCAAGGGTTAGTCACGGGATGGGTGACCAATAAATTATTATCTTGAGCTACTTCGTGCTTCGGAAGGCACGTCAAGCCGTTGGTCCTGCTGCATTTGCCGTCGTTAATACCTTGCAATCCTCATTGGGCCAGCGTGGATGGCCATGGCCCATCCTCCTTAACTGTCTATAAGGAAGGCCCGAGCATCTGCAGTGAAGACGTAAAAGGGCTGAAAATGATGTTTTTTATTGCACAGTCGGCGTGGGTTTCTTTGCCACCGCTGCCAGCGAGCTCTACATCTGAGGAGCTGCCTAATCTGTCTCCGGGCGAGCGGTACCAGGTGCGGCTGGACACGGCCAGCGAGCCGGCCACCGGCGACGCGGTCACTAGCGGTCACCCGCTCGACGTGTACCATGTCGTGCGTCAGTATATATATTATAATCTTTCTCACATAGCATGGGCACGATGACGTTTGGGATATGAGGCTTTCAGTGATGTGGTAATAAAAAAATATATGCAAAAATTCTATGTTATAGAGTTCATTACTAATAGACATTATTGATTTTTGAGGTAAACGGGATTTAATAAAATATATTTATTTGTCAACAAGATGAACCATAGTCAGCTAAATTATTAGATTCTTCACCTAAGTTAATAATTACTTGAGTCCATTAAGCTGTCTATTTTAATAACTCTATCCCAGTCATGTAGCATAAAGCTTTTTGTTTTTCCAATTAATTTTGAAGTAATGAAGTTGTTTTGGTAGATAAAAAATCAGATACAATCAAACAAGTTTTTATTAGGATCATTATTAATAATTTGGAAATACAAATGAAAGTGAAATGAATTTGTTAACAAACGTTACATGTAACGTTTTACAAGACCCCACTACACAAATTGCGTTACGTAATACTTCAACGCCCCCTTAGTACTCGCATTTCGACTATTGATCCAATATTCAATTCAATGTTGCTTTTTTATGGGTGAATTCGTTTCGAAATCGTAACTGGATCCTTTATCGTAGAAAGTACAGATTTTGACATTCAGTTTTGTGTGTTGTGTTACTATTTCCAGCCGTTTAATTTATTTTTATCACTGGAAATTGACACTAACAGTCCAATTTACAAGTGTGTTTAGTAGTGTCGATTCAAAAGACATTTTTATGTCGGATTATCGTATGCCGTTTTTATATTCAAACACAAATATACTGAAATAAAACATGAAATTATTTTACACATAGAACGCTTAGTTTTAATACAAATGACACAAAATATTTATAGTCTTGATTTAAAAATAAACGTTAATCATTATTATTGCAAAATCTTAAATAATATTCTTTTCTTTGATAACTGTCCGAGCCCCTATGCTTATTGGATAGTAATACACTTTTTTCTAATTATATGGGTATTTAGGCCCGAGTCCTGTATCTAACGTGGGCCAGCTGGTGGACACTCGCAACATGACACTAGAATGGCCTCGACCCGCGGGTCGCGTGGAGTTCTACTCGCTAAGATGGTGGCGCGCGGACGGATCGGAGGGAGCGGGGGCCCAGGGGGCGCGCAACGTCACCGCGGAGGGGGGCGGTCGACTCGCCCGAGCTTTACTCTCTGGCCTCTCACCCGGCGCCCCCTACACGGTCACTATTGCCGCCCACTCGTATGATCTCGTCAGCGATTTGTTCACTATGGACACGAGAACGCGTGAGTACAAGCAATATTACAGTCACTCTGTTATCGTTAGCTTGATAGTATAGTAGCACAAGTCTTCTCTTTGGATCGAATTACATAGAACGGTGCCGTGCTTATTTCATATGCTGCATACAAAAACTATCGATCCAACAATTGTCAATAGAACTTTGACGATGCCAATGCATTCAGCATTAGCTTTACGAGGTTCTTAAACGTTTAACAAGCTTAAATATCGTTCGGTTTAATATTTTATTTTTGCAGACTTGTACTTGTGTGTGTTGTTTAGTTTATAATGTCATGGGTTAATCCGACAGGACCGTTGATCCAGTCTGAAATGACTATAGTGACAGAATCTGGCACCGATGAAGCCGACAATGATACCGAGAGCGACACCTCGCCCGCCTCACTGGTCAGTTCGATTGCTAATACTTATTCATTTCTTAGATCTATATGTGAACATGTTTCATGTATCAACAATAATTGCATTATCTAATTAATCTTCACGGAATAAGAAATTTAACGTTAATTTTTAAGATTGGAAAGAATTCAATTGTATTATCATACATGTCTAAATTAATATTATGCAAAAATAGATTAAGTTCTTTGAACGTTTGACGATACTATTCGACGTGGGTTATAGGGGTTATTATATCGATTTCTTGTTGATATAAAAATATTTATCAATTATATTTTTACGTTAAATAAACCAATTAATAAACGTAATTAAAGGAATATACATAATCAACGATTAAATTTAATCATCTCTAATAATAACAGTTACTCGAAATATTTTTTCGTAAGTTTTGTATCCATATATTCATGCTGGTTATGTATACGAGTCACTGATTGTTATCCTTTCGATTCGTAGAAAGTGCTGTACACTCGCACACCGGAGTCAGCAAGCACATTCGATTCCTATAGGTTCCGGCTGGAGGGCGAAGGCGAGGGGGCAGAAGGGGCACGTGTAGTGGACCGGCCAGCTTCCGCCGCCCCCCAGCAGGTCCTATTCACGAGACTAGTGCCTGGACGACTTTACAACGTCACCATGTGGACGGTATGTTTTGTATACTTTTGTAAATTTCCTTTATTTTTATAAAGATAACTTTAAGTTATATCACAAAATATAGTGAAATGTCCCTTAAATAATTATTGAAAGAACAGGCAAATGTTACAAAAAGTGAAACTAATTTATTGGAAAAGATAAGATAGTCTTTGGAACGTAATCTGACTTGCTGTTGAATGTGCATAGCTGTAACAGCTTCGTCAAGAGTTAACGTATAATACAGAATGTTGTAGAATACAGAAATGGGTAGTCACTCATTTAATGCACAATATTATTCGTTTTACACGTGGACCCAATTGATTTGTGTGGTCGTATTCAGAAACCAAATCTGACGATGGACAATAATTTTTGTAGTTACCATTAAGTAATCCTACTGATGGACAAGATCGTTGCTTTGTAAGCGTTAAAACTAAGTGATCGCGGGGCAGGTGTCACGCAACGTGACGTCACACCCGGTGGCCCGTCAAGCGCGCCTGTTCCCGCGGCCGGTGCCGTGGCTGAACGCGACGTGGGTGGGGGCGCGCGGAGTGGGGCTCGGGTGGGGGGCGCCCGCCGGCGACGCAACCGATTACGAGCTGCAGTACCTCGCCGACGCTCACACTCTGCGGACTAATCATACATCCGCGCGTGCCTTCAACGTCACAGGACTGAGGCCACACACCAATTATACCTTCACAGTCGTTGTGAGTATACACCCCACAATAATTTTAGGTTTGGTTTGCGCATGCCTGTCGTCCTCTTTTGTGTGATTGTAAAGTGTCTAGCAATTTATACCGACTGTTGCAGCCAATAGTAGCGTCTAGCTGTTGACTTCACGGTCTGTCCATTTAAAACTAGCTAACTATTCAAAGTTGTATACCAAAGGTAGCCGTCGAATTAAAAATATCAATTTAACACTAGGTCCGCGCCGGTACCCGTGACACTCTGCTGGCACTGTCGCGGGCGCACTCTGCCGAGGTGACGACCCTGGAGGCGGCCCCGGAAGCGCCAGCTGATTTCCGCGTAATAGACGCAACGCCCAATTCGCTCACGTTCGCCTGGGAGATGCCTATGGAGTCGCGTCACGGAGAGCTGAGAAAGTTCGTGCTCACGTACGCGCCCACCGACTCGTCGGGGCCCGGCGATAGGCTAGAGCTGGGGCCCGCCGCCCGAACCGCCACCGCAGCCGGGCTCGCCGCAGGCGCCTCCTATCGCGCCCAACTCATAGCCGAGACCGGCGCGGGCGCGGGCCCCCCGGCGACTTTGACGCAGAGCGCCCCTATAGCTGCGCCCCCACCGCCCCCGCCTGCCGCCACGCCGCGCGCGCTCCGGCAGACGCCGACGACGGTCGCGGTGCGGTTCCGGTCGGACGCGTTCTCACACGCAAACGGCAACGTGACCGCCTACACGCTCGTGCTGGCCGAGGAACCTCGCGCCGATACACCCCCGCGGCTGCCCTCCTGGCGAGACGTGCATCGTCTGCCCGTGTGGCCTCCATACCAGGTGCGTCCTTCCCTCTCTCTGATACGACCGTAATGATGAAGCATCTTTTAACGATATTTGACGACCGCTCGAGGCTCACTCTTCTTTTTTTGTTCTGCCATTTGGCGGCATATGAAGCGAAAAGTTAATCGACTGACATACGAGTGTGCGACGGGACAGGTAACGGAGCCGTACTACCCATTCCATTCGTCGGCGGTGGAGGAGTTCACGATCGGGTCGGAGCGGTGCGAGGGGGGCGGCCGTAGCTATTGCAACGGTCCGCTGAAGCCGGCAACCACGTACTACGTGAAACTGCGTGCGTTTACAGCTCCGGACAAGTTCACGGACACAGCGTACGCCGTCATACACACCGGTAAACGTCGCCCTGCGATGGCCACGCTGGAATCGATAATTCACGATGGGAATCAGTATCGCTATCATTGTATCTCGCGTCTCAAAGAAATAAAAAGCTTTATCGGCTCACAATAGGGTCTTGGGCTAAAGTAGCAAAATAATATGAGATTTTGTCGAAAGGTAAACAAAGTATACATTATAATATTATTTTATCTTTTAAAATATTTTTTTAATGTCAAAACCGCTCACGTCGTTTTACTGGTCGAGTCGCATGATGTTATAACTCTCTCTCACTTTCAGAGTTACCAGAGTTATCAATATGGCTAAATAATACACATTTTACGTATACAGTCAATTATACCGATAAAATAGACATCACAAACTTTCTTTGGAGAATATATTTTTTAAATATTTGATTTGTTTTTTATGCTATTAACAAACGTTTTGGTGATTTTTCCATCTTATCTGGCAAGATCTTATCTCCGTAAGATAAGTGACGTAGCGTACATACAGGGACAGAAGAATCAAATTTGTCGCCAAATTTTAATGTAAAATAATTTCAGTAAGTCTCTTTATGAAAATCGATTTATTTCCGCGAAAATATACTTTAGAGGTTGATTATCTAATTAACGGAGACACTTGAAAACTTGCCCAAGGCCTTATTTGAACATTTTACTCGTTTAAAATAATAATACGATACCTCCTCCCGATCGTTGATAATAACCTGCTTGATGGTGGTTCGGGAAATACCAATTTACTAACTCTATTAGTATCGGTGGAGGTTATTACGGCGTTCTAATATCACGTGTGTCCTATAGTATATTACAGCACGACTAATACGCCAGAGTAACTCTATATCATCTGCTTGTGAATGATGTGATTTATTGTGAAAATGATGGTGATGGCCTCTTTTACGGGGATGTTATATACTTGGTTATCTATTGATATAATATTTATATTTTTGATACTTTTGTATGAACTAATGTTTTATATACATATTTGTGGAATAAAATAAAACATTTTATGTATGTTTTTTATTATTATTAATAAGACTAATACCCTACTCTTTTCACAGTAGTTGTTCAGACTGTTTGATTTAATATTTTTTCCATGCAGTCTGTAATCTGTGTAGTAGAACACGATCGCCTCTCTTCTGTATCACTATTCATAAAGTTACACCCTTACGCTTTGTTAAAACCAACTTTTATGTATATATAAATAAACTTGTCAACCGCATGGTTACTAATAAAGCTTTGCACTGTAATATTAAAACTTTAATAAAAAAAACCGGTCTATTAATTAGCTTTGTTGTTTTTCGTGATATAAGCCCAAGTAAATCGCCACTGCTGTGAGGAACAGTTTGTAATCAGTGTTATCTTGCAGTCTGATTGGTGAACACGTCGCGATAACGGACCTCGGTATATACGATCTAGATTACGCGTCTCTTTGAAATTTTAAGACTGATTAATTAATGTTATAATATTTTTTTATCTATTTATTGTGATTTTTTATGGATTTGACATCACCGTAGCTGAAGTCGCGAGGATCTATTTAGTGGTCGCTAAGAAACAATTGGTAATTTATTAACCTGGATAATGAATGTGTGTATTAAAATATAATCGTTTTAAAAAGACTGGTTTACCGATTGCGTGTAAGGTAAAGAAGATTCAAACTAAACATTATTATATGGTGGATTAAGTTAGTGAATTACAGTTGTTTCTCCTACATATAATTTGGTAGTTTTAATTGGTTAAATGGTGGCTATCAATCAGTAACAATGCTTAATTTTGAGAATTCAGCTCAGTTTTGACGTAATTTTAAGAATATATTAATTAACTGTCATGCTTGTCTTATCGAATTATCTGTTGTACAGTTGTAAAGCATTGTTTTTATCTTTGAATATTCAGTATCATTTATTGTCCATTTGATATAGTGATTCATTGATTGGATGTAAGACAGGATATCTAATCCTTTATGAAATAATACTATAATACTTGAAAAACACAATTATCTAGGTCAGGGGTCGACATCGGTAATTTTACGAGACGGAAGAGCAAAATTCAATATTTATGTAAAATAAAGGACTTTGAATATCTATCTCTCAGTCAGTATATATAAATCGTATTATAGTATACTTAACTATAGATCGATCTAAAGGTTTTTCGCCATAAAAATAATTATTTTGTAAATGAAACATGAAAGCTACAACTCAAAGTAGTGGAAGGTTGTCGACTCCTGATCTAAGTGACAGACTGAATCCAAACCCACTTAATATTTATACAAATATTAGTCAACTAATAGCTTGCAGGGCTTTCGGCTGTAGATCGCTACCGGTAGCTTGCCTTAACATTAAATGAAGCATGGGAAATACGCTTACTAAGGTTGATAGCAGATAAAATCCGAGCCAAAGGAGGCGAAAATAGGTAACTAATTTTATTTATACCTCTTAAATAAATGGTGATATTAGAATATGACGATTCGATTCGTGTTAGTATGCGGAGGTTCATATTTTTTTCAGACAAAATTTTTTGCTTTCGCCTCCTTCGGTACTTTAAAATCAAAAGAAATAAGTAGTTAAAAAATCCATCTATCTGAAGACAGAAATAAAGAATATTTTATTGAACTTACGTTATAAAATAACACAATAGGGTGACTTACACGAAAGGTTGGCCAAGTACCTTTCAGGCCTCTGCAATACCTTTTGTGACAATGGATATGTGCCGGTTAAGAAAAGCCGTTCAATTGGTGGGCTAGCCATTTGATTGAATGGCGTCTTTCAATGGGGCTCCTAGATTTCTAGTTGATGTAAACGCTGCTAATAGATTCATTGAGTTTTGTTATCTGTTAAAAAATAACCTCTATCTCTTCTAACCTATCCAAACGGATGGGAAGAGCAGTCATCCGGTCAGCGAAAGTTATGGATTCGACTTCCGTTTGTTTCACTCAAATGCTTTTTGGAAGATATTGAAATAAAGAATAAATATATAAATGCATAATTTCTTGACAATAATAAGAATAAGAGGAAAACGTTTATCAAGACATTAATTGGGTTGATTTTCCTGAACCGATTACAGCAAGTCTTAAAGGACGATGACTATTTGCTTTGATTATAAATAATCACTATTAATATCTGGTATCCATCAAGTACAGACAATAGTATGAAGTTACAAAATAATTTCAGGAAAGTTGTTTGTGATTCCGTGTCAGTTGTGACTTTTCGCTCACTTTAGTTGTACAGAAGATTTTTATTTGTGTTTTAACTTCAAGCTACGATATTTTAAATTAATTGGAAATCGAGTCCAATCAAAGACCAGATCAAGATAGTGTTTCATGGGTCGATACAGGTCGAGTACTTTTAAGTGAGTATAAATGTACCTACATAAGTCTCCTCAATTTGGCACGACAATTTTTATTACATACTCTTTGCAATCAGTCCAGTGTCGCGTATGCCTTTTTCAATTGGTCAGCTGTTTGATTGAAAGTATTTTTTTACATATATAATATATTTTGAAGAATGCTCTAGGTGTCAAATTGTAAAGAGAATTTAAACACAAATAGATTATTGAGTAACTCTAGGTGAAAATATCTCTATGATATAAATACATTATAATTGATTATAAACAAATTTATTATTCCATTACGGTTAATGTTTTAACAGTTTATAAACAGCCTTTTTTTCTCTCTCGATAGTTTAAAATCAACAGTGTTCACCATAGATTTACTAATTTGTGTTTACGATGATCAATGATACGGTGGTTTTCTGCAATCGGTATAAAAACTTTAAAATCTTACAGGTGTCAAATCGACTCAGGAATCTTTTATTACCATTGAGATGCTTTACTCTTTGTTTTTCAGTTGTAAATTGTTGCAACGTTACATTTTCTTGTGCTTGGGGTTTTCTTGTTTTTGTAATGTAGGTGTGTAATGTTATCGTAGAAGTGGATAATACGGCGTGGATAGCGGGCGCGTGCGCGTGCGTAGCCCTGCTCGTGTGCGGAGGCGTGGCGTTGTTGGTAGTACGACGCATGCGACGCCGCCCCGCCCCCGCTCCGTCCACCCCCGCCACCTGTACCTCCCGCCCAGTACGCGTGCAAGACTTCATCGACCACTACCGCCTCATGTCCGCGGACTCGGACTTCAGGTAACTACCGATTGTTATAAACGCCTGCTGTTACACCGTTAGGCCTACTATTATTAGCTGGATGCTATAACTGCATCTTTGCTAGTATGGTTTCGCAGTCAACTGAAAAAAAAGTTACACAGACGCACATTTTTCGCGTTCCGGGTTGCGAGCCGTCCCGATTTCTGATGACAATCCGAATGTCCGAATTTTGTTTTTCAAAAGGTGACAACCCTGTTTGTATTCGCATACGCAAGCGAATGTGACGGTGTACTTACGGCGTTAAACTAGAAAAACTACAAACTATTTTTATACATTTATGATGGGAGAAAAGCCAGTACTAGGCAATCATTTTTTCCCCTAATTATGAATAATAAATCTGAAAATCCTATTTCGACTAAATCGTAGATTCACTTTATACGTCCCTTCTACTCAAAAAGGTAGTTCCATCTAAGATCCTTTATCGCTTTATCGCTAACAACCGCTAATGTGAACTGTACTCACCTTTACTCGAAATATACATTTTATTCGTAAAATAATTTCGAACTTATATAAGAAAAGTCAAATCACATTTGCCATTACGGTTATCAGAGATTTTTGTATAAAAAATATGACGTAAATTCAGATTCAGCGAAGAATTCGAAGAGCTGAAGCACGTGGGTCGTGAGCAGCCATGCACTGCGGCGGACCTGCCGTGCAATAGACCCAAGAACCGATTCACTAACATCCTGCCTTACGACCACTCACGGTACAAGCTGCAACCGGTCGACGACGAGGAGGGCTCCGACTACATCAACGCTAATTACGTACCTGGTCACAATTCACCTAGAGAGTTCATCGTCACACAGGTAATATTATTTGTTAACATTATATCTAGGTACAGAAAATTGCACGTCAGACTATACAAACATTTCAAATGTCCCCACTCAAACAAATTGGTGGCTACTGAAGTGTATAATTTATTTAGGTTTTAAATTATGACGTCATTATTTAATTTGATTTTGTAGGCTATATTTCATCTTAAAAGGAAACTTCTCAATTATCCAATAGAATTACAACAAATTTAGGCTTAAGATTGTTTGAAAATACATATTTTATATTTTGCTATAACCCTTACTAAGGGTTATAGCAGAATATAAAATAGAATAGCAATGCTGAGATTTTTAGCACTTTTTTGCTGCAACACACTGTTGACAATTTACTAGTTTTTATTTAACTTAATATACCTATTTCGATTGTTGTTGTATGTCAATTCAAATAAACAGTTATCTATCCAACTAGTCTAAAGTAATTCTCCTATAACAGTCAAGTATGTAACTTATGTAAAGACTTGCGGGTGTATGATAACAGGGACCGCTGCACTGCACTCGTGATGATTTCTGGCGCATGTGCTGGGAGTCAGGATCGCGGGCGATTGTGATGCTGACGCGGTGCGTGGAGAAGGGCCGCGAGAAATGCGACCGGTACTGGCCGTACGATACACGGCCCGTGTATTACGGCGATATCGCCGTCACCGCCCTCAATGAGTCCCGTTACCCTGACTGGACCATCACAGAGCTGATGGTGTGTCGTGGCGCTGAGCAACGAGTGCTCAAACACTTCCACTTCACCACTTGGCCGGACTTCGGTGTGCCCGATCCGCCCACAACGCTCGCTAGGTGATTGTACACGTATTATATCATTCAGTAAACGATGAAAACTCTTATAATATGGGAGAATTGTTACATTTCATAAAATTCTGGCACCCAAGGAACTTTGAGGTTACCCAAAAGGTAAAAACTGACCAAGTTAGAGTCGAACTTGTGCACAAAGGTTTACGGACCGTTATCTATAAAAAGCGTAAAGAATTAAGTTACATACAAAGCCTTAAATATTTCTTATATTTTGTTGTATTTGTTCTTATAGCAGGCAACACAAATACATCATCTGTGAAAATTCAGATTTCTATTATTTGATTGGAGAATATTAATCATTTTAACTTATAGATATTTAACAAAATAAATGTTATGACGCTAATTTGGAAAACATTACGCTTTGAAAAGTTTAACAAAGAAGGGAAAATATACTACAAAAATTTGCCAAAATACATATTAGCATTAAATAGTTTATATGAAACGTTACAACTTTCAGATATTAATGGACTATTTATCTATAAAATATAACATTTTTCAACTAGCCTATTTCAATTGTCTAACTCACGGTTCATAAGATACAGCCTGGTGACATACAGACGGACGGATAGCGGAGTCTTAGTATTATGATCCCGTTTTACCCTTTGGGTATGAATCCAAAAGCATGCCATGTTTGAAATTATCTATGATTTATATTATGTTTATAATAAATGTTTGAGTTTGAAAACAATTAGTTCTAAATGCTTACAAAAAAAACTTTTTTTTGTGATCAAACTTGATAATATCTGACGTGTGTCCGGTTTTTTAGGTTCGTGCGTGCGTTCCGCGAGCGTTGTCCGGCGGACGCGCGTCCGGTGGTGGTGCACTGCAGTGCGGGCGTCGGACGGTCCGGAACGTTTATAACGCTGGACCGCGCGTTGCAACAGGTACATCAATACCTAACTTAAATATATTTCCTTATTACCAGATTTTTACGATACATCCCAAGATACGAGCAACTGTTTTAAGAATATGCGGAATAGGCAGATTGACATCATCGACCTATTAACATATGGTGGAGAAAAAGATGGAATGATTAGGTAAAACAGGTATTCGGGGGCTAAATGTGGAGCACTTCTCCAAAAGAGAAGGTGCATGGAAGACATGTAGTGGGTATAACATCCGCCTTTTAACTAGCCTTCGGGCGGGTTCATGTGGATGGAATCCCACACACCCCCAGCTGCCTATAAAGTGTCGGGAACATTCCCATACAATAAAAAAAAATGGTAAAACAGACCGTACACCACCACAAGAGCTTAATGCTTTCGGTTGATATTATTTACTGCGGATGCATACAGGCCTAACAAGTTAACGTGCCCTCCCATGACGGATTTCCAGATACATTTTAATGTATTAACAACTGCGCCATCACAGTCCATATAACGGACTTATTTACCTGAACTCCAAAAATTGTCGAAACAAGATATGATTCCAATGAAGGCCTTATGACTAATTCAATTCACAAAATCGATCACTCTACTGTCTCCTCAGTTGGCAGCGCATGCAGAGTACCTGGACATCTTTGGCATGGTGTATAGTATGCGTCGCGAACGTGTCTGGATGGTACAAACCGAGCAGCAGTACATCTGCATCCACCAGTGTCTGGTGGCCGTGCTCGAGGGACAGGATCTGCAGCCGCCGCCCCATCACAACCACCACCACAACCCCGCCTTCGAAGGTAACATGCTTCTTTATACAAAAACATTTACGCAATTATTTTTAAGAATTATTTGGTAAAAGTATACATGGTTTTCGACTCATCTCGATATTATCACATGATATAACGTACAAACATAAATACAATTATAATTCACCTGATACGATACAAATAGTACTCATGTATTTTTTTAAATGCGAAAATAAATTTTAGGATATGTAGAAACACTTACAAGATGAAATATTTCTCTGCGAATACTGTCTAAAATCATGTTACTTTTCAAGGTATATGATAACGGTGGTGGTATAACATCGTCTCGGACAGCGTGCCGGCCCGTCGCCGCAAGTGAGCCGCCCGAGTGCTGTACTAACATATCGCGTGTTCGCTCTAACACTGACACCCGTCTCGCTCTTATCGGCTTACGTTACTTCGTCTCCATGTTATCCTTGCTCCGCCGCCTTTGAACTAAAACTAAGCACCGATGTCGCTCACTAACGAATGTTATGAACCGTAAAATCTATGTTAAATTTAACTATACTTAAAAAAGATGATTACGTGAAAAGTATCTATCTAATAATCGTGTCTCGTATTCCAGATGACGAAGGCATCGCGGAGTCGGGCATGTGAGGGCATTCACCCTCAGCCCGATGTCGAAGAGTACTTAATCTTAACACTGGACGATGCGACGATACCTCGTGAAACGACTCGCCCATCAAATGTGATAGTCATAAGTTTTTACTGGAGTATTTTTTTTTTTGTATAAATGTATATTTAATGTTGTAAACCTTTTTAATGTGTACATAGATCGAGATATATTATTGTTAAGTTTGATATCGTCTGACGATCAACCCTCGCCGAGTCTCCGACGAGTCGCGTCTCACGGACCGCCTGCAGCTATTTAAATGTTTCCGTTTCACTTGAAATAATCGTCTTCATTTGTGTAAATATTCTATATTCCTTTATACCTCTGCTCTATGCGACATAATAGGACTTCGTGTTAAATAAACGGCTTACCCGAGTACGTCGACTGCCCCATAGTATGGAACGTTTTTTAACAAAAATTGTTTATTTGAATAATGTTGGAAACTAGTAAGCGCCTATACACAATTAAAAAACGCCAGCCTTAAAATGTGCCTCACATTGGTGAGGCATGAAACCATTGATACTCAATAATTGCACGTTTTACTCTCTCTCAACTATTTTAAATTCTAGCAAACCACTTCAATATTTCAATACCTACCAAGTTTCAGAATAATCTACTTCATGTTTATGAGACTACTATAAAATTTATTTTACTTAGTTTTGAAATGGGACAGCCTACGTATTCAGTTGCCAATGGGACAGTATGAATACAGTGCTATGAGTTTCTGTACTCTGTTCATAGGGTATCCCAAAAACAGATAATGATAAAAGTATATGAGTGTTATAATCAAACGATAAATATCGCTGTCCATAGAACTCTGTGATCCGCGATCATTACTAGTTTTGTTGTACGAGACGCTACAAGTCGCTGACCTCAACCCGTACAAAACCCAATACTTCGCAGATATTATCCAAGGGTGTGAAATAGGGATTCGTATCGTTTATTTTAATGTTCACATATACTTTGGGTCGATGCTTGATTTCTTTGCCTGCCCTGGGAATAGACTATAGCACTCGCGCATATATAGGAATCGCCTAAGTTTATGAGTCTATACTAACATCGCATGTAATCTACTCGCACACACCTTCCTCTCTACAGACGGCCCATAAAGTACGGTAAGTGTGATCAAGAGGAAACGCTGGCGTCCTGAATCTCGGCGTTTAATTATAGAAAGTGAGACCGATTCGTCGTTTCGCTTCCGTCCCAAAAATGCAGGAATTTGCCTGCCTTTTAATGGATCCGAATTATGCGCAGAATGTTTACTCGGATCTACCATTTAACTGTTTGTATATTTAACTCTGACATTCCTCGTGATCGTACTTAATATTATTCATTAAGGTAAATGTAGTTTTTATATTCCAAGGATCATTTTCATTGAGTCATTCTTGGATTAAAAAGACCTAAGATACAACATTTAACGCTTTGTTCAATTAGTGAGAAACAAGATAGTTTTATTAAAAGGAAAGTAAAAAATAATGATAAGTCCGACATATTCGCAACTCTATTACTTCTATGCTGCAAGTCAGTCACTTGAATTCATTTTCGAAACTCGAATCAGAAGTCATTATTAGAACAGTTGGTGATGGTAAGGCAATTATTTGTGGACAGGAAAATATCTAAAGCCATGTTTAAATACGTTTTAGTATGGATTTTTTGTTTGTATCTTGGGTTTTTTAAACAAGGGAGCCATGCTATATATTTTTTGAATTTATACAACTAATATTATCGATGCGCGACTAACAGGTATGTCGAATAGGTACCTAATTTTTTTATTAATCTGACAGTACATAGGTTTCTATTCAGGTAGGTAGGTCTTTTTAAATTTTAGGTATAGATTGGATTTTTCGATCAGTCATTCTACTACACATTGTTAATAAATACATTTTAATTGTTATTTTTTTTTCCGAAAAATAAATACCTTGTCATATTTACAATCGCTCAAACAACAAGATAAATTTATATATATATTTTTAATAAACATGAAGATTAATGGTTAATGATGTCTTTTATTTGAACAATAATCTGAAATATTATATGCACAATAATTTATCCTGACAATCCACTAGTTATTAAGGAAAAAATTGGCTCTTACTCTTAAAAAATAAATTATACAGTGGAGTCTCCTAGTATCGGCCCTCATAATATTGGCATTTTCGAGGAAATGGAACTATAAGAATGGAATAGAATAAGAATGATTTTCAGTCATAATTGTTTTTACGCAAATAGTGAAAAGCTATATATCCTTACAAATAAGCTCCCACATCTTGATGCGAGTGCCTCAACTTTTGCACGTTCAGTCGGTAAGGTCAGTAGAGCCTGAGTAGGTCCAAACATGCGTCGTTTGGTAGCATTGTTGAGTAAGATCGCTGAGTCGACGCATTGTGTTGATTTGTATTTGAACTGAATTGAAAATATCTCAGCTATTTTGTTTTATTTGTTCTTGAAGGAAAAGAGTCAAAGTACCGTTTAGATGTTTTATTAAAATAATCGCGGACGGAGATTAGGAATGTTGTTTTTTTGATAAATCATAATATCCTAAGTCTGTGATATCGGCCGAGTGGTCGATATTGGGGAAAATAATGTTAAAAATGAAAGAACACCTCAATATGATAACTAAAACCTAAGATCTAAGGTCCTAAGGTATTTCTATCAGCTACGGCCAGTATAAAGAGAATCGATGCATAATATCGGTCACCTTAACAGTTGGTATTTTCTTTCCTTCTTACTAAGTTACATTGGACATTTGATTTTTGACTACTGGCATCACTATTAGCTGAAATATAATCTTCCCTAGCTCGCCGTCTTTTAAATTCTAAAACAGGCGAATTTCTAGGTTTTTTGTATAGTCAGCATTAAGAAAACATTTACCATCTAGCAATGGACGTTATTCGCGATAGACAGTCATTCAACTAGTGATTTGCCTGAACCGCGATCACTCGTGATTCAGTGATACATATCTATTTTCCAGAAAGCTTTAAAGAAAGCTGAATTCACTCTTAAGTAAATCACTTAAGGTTGATGTTTGGGCGACTCACTTTACAATATCCGCGATCATCAAGAAGCGGCGACCACAGGTCCGTACCGATACGTATACTCCTTTTCATTTAAAATGGCAAAAGATGTAAACAAATATGGCGACATATCACTAAAATTGTCAATTTAGTGATAGGACATATTATTATGAATTTGATTTCTCTGTCTACGATTTGATTAGTGAGGAAGTATTAAAAAAAACATTATTTTCCGAAATCAAACTAGATGTCGCTAAGGTACGTTCTTGATTTCTCCATGACAACCTGTACGGTTTTTTTCATGTTTAAAATTAAATTAGTTTTCAAAACTTAATAAACAACTCATATTCTATTTATACTTTTTCGTATTTGTATTAATATCTAAGTTTAGAACTTTTCAAATTTCAGTTTTTTAATATGTTAGTTAATAGGAACGGAAATGACTGTCTTTGGTCCATTCGTTTCCTACAAAAATCAACTTTTGCTAGGGTCGACATCTAGTGGAGGTGCTTTTTTAGTGCTTTCGTTTTTTTTAAATACTCCCTCATTGTAAAAGTGAATGAGCAAGTATTTAAAAAAAACAAAACAACTTTTCTAAATAGTTTTTCTAAGTGTTTGATTCACATAACAGATTTATAAGAAAGTAATAATATATGCAGAAATTTAATTATATTTATGAGAAACAGAAAAAAAGATGTCCGTTTCATGTTTGCCTATTTAACAGTAATAAATTATCATGATTTTGGTGCCCCCTGACCTTGGCTTCCGGGCAAGTGTCTTAAATCTGACCCTGATTTAGAGAATGTTTATTGTTGTAGTGTTTGCCTTTGTGTTATCCTCGAAATTATTTGATAAAGCATGGCTGAAACAAGTATGTTTATTATATAGAATATATATCTTAAAAAAAATATTTAAAAATTTCTTAGTTCTAAGAAAGATACTCGACAAAGGTTACTAAATATTATAATGTAAAAAAAAACACAATTTGGAATTGCAATTCATAACGCCTTTGCCTAAACAGAAATTATTAAGTGAATTAGTCAATAACAAAACAAATAACAAGTTAGTAATAATAACTAACTAACATTTAAAGAATTGAATAAATATAACAAATTTAAAATAAATGCTTAGCATGAAAATAATACTTAAAAATAATTATTTCTGTTAGCAAAGTTAATATATTAAAAGTCTTGTATTTTTCTAAATTGCGGATGTTGCGCCATGTCGAAAGCTGTCATTTGTATATATGTGTGAAGTTGTCAAATTGTGTTCAGTCAGTTGTGTGCGTGCGACGATATTGGCTTGTCGCGTTGCGGTGCGTGTGCCTTCTTCAAATTGACTTTCATCGCCTCGTAAGTTTGTGAATTGAATTTATTTCAGTGTAATTTGTGATATAAACGAAGAAAACGTCAAGTGAGTGCTAAAACGAGAGAATAATTTCAATAAATCTCTTAAGAATTCGCTACGATCATTCGATCGGATCGTGTCGATGCGTCACCTTTGTGAGCCATTATATTCAAGTATTTCACCTCAATATTCATCTTGTTGATATCGTAAATACAGGAATATGTAGTGCACATAAATTGTTTAGGCTAAATCTTGGGTGCAACATCTGTACGAATAATAAAAAGCGGGCAAGGATATAGTGCATTCTAACCTACGCGTAGGCAGGAAGTGTTGCTCATTAGTGGGCTGCGCTGCGTGAGACAGCGGCAGCACCCGTGATTGGTGGCATCTCTTCCTTGTTCTTACTTTTTGTAATCTCCGTCATTGTCCACCTGAGAATCATATAAAACTTGAAAGTCACCTAACTTCACGCCAAATGTAACAAAGAGTTATAGGTACCTATCACTATTATTTGTTTTCCAGCAAAAGTCTATATACAATACTACCTTACCTACCCAATAGATTACATCCATCAAAACAAATGCTTATGCCTTTTTTATAATATTGTATTTGTACCACAAAGCATTCTGCTTAATCATAATGAATTCATTGTAAAATGAAGATTACAATTTACTGTTTTGTTACAAAAAATATTTGTATACATATATTGTGTATGATAGAGATACTCATTAGAGTATAAATCTCAGCATGTTAATTTTTTAATTAAATGCTCATAGTCAAGTAGACTGATTGCACTATAACAAATAATAAAATATACAACTGTAGTAGATTGCATTAATGGATGTGTATGTGGAATGTAATTATATTATTATTTCTGTTATTTAAATAACATTTACATATTTGTTTATCTAGTGTTCTATTTTAAGCTGTAAATTATTTTTTACTTAATTTACTGGCACAAAAATACACAATCAATGGATCAATTTATATATACCAAAGCAGGTATTGTAATGAACATTGCATGTAATCATCTTAATAATAATTAAAATAATTATAAAAATCATTAAAATTATAGGTAATAACATAATAATGAGTTACAAGTTATATGAGTTAGTAAGACACAAGTTAGTAAACTGTGTTTCTTGTACAATCAAATATTTGTTAATACCTCCAATATTTTTTTAATTACTTTTCATAATATTGTTGATAACAAAAGAATAATAATTAAGCTATGGCATATAGCATGTTGTTTTCAAATTATAATGTCTATGAAATTATCAAAATTTTTAACTGAATTTAAATAAATCAAAAATATGATTAATTTTAACAAAATTATGTTCTAAACTAAGTCATTCCAGAAGAAAATGTATACTATTATGATATATACACATTATAAAAGCATCAATAGATTCATTTTTGGGCAGTTGTTTAAAAATCAAAGATGAATATAGTTATGACAAAAACACCATGTGATGAGAATTTGAACTGAGTTCCATATTCTATACCTAGGTGTATATATTTTATTTAGAATAATATATAAAAGATATTTATTTTTATAATATTATATTCAATCAATAAAATCTAGGCTATCAGTATATAGTATAAAGCAAAGTTGCTTTCTCTGTCCCTATCAGCCAGTTGCACAAACGTCCATAAAATTTTTCATTAGTTTAAAGCGACATTATCCATACAAATTTGACATTTATTAGAGCTTAAAGGCATCATTAAACCATAATGAACATTTGTGCAACTGACCGTAACTATGCTTTAATCTTTAAAACTATGCAACGGATTTTGGTGCGGATTTTTTTCATAAATAGAGTGACTCAAAATTAAGGTTTTTATGGTTAATACAAAACCAGGCGGGCGAAGCCGCTGGTGGAAAGCTAGTTTATCATAAATTTAACCATAATGGTTTCATTTTTTTTATAAAATTAAGTTTGGAGCATAGAGTAAATTTTAGCTTAATCATACTGTTTTATGCGTCTTTCAGACTTGAGAGGTCTTCCTGTATCCAATCCAGATTAGATAATCCAATCCAGTATTTATCATAAAAAGTTGGAGGCATCATTTTGGCAGTGAGCGGATTAAGTAGGTCGGGTAGGCGGTTGTAGGTCAGGACGGGGCCGGCGCGCGGTACTTTTTGTGCATAGGGGCGGCTGCGGTGCGCGGGCGCGGGGTGCGATCTGGGTCAATGGTAGCGGAGTGGCTCCATCGAGCGCTGCAAGTGGGTCGTACCGCGCCCGCCGCTCCCATCGACTATTGTCTATTGCGCTTTTATTGCTAAGCAATTATGGATCCATTGCCGTCGTGCGCAATTTTTAATCGTTCCAACCAAATTCTTACCCCTATCTCATTTAGGTATAAACTATAGAAAGCACATATTTTCCTCTCGTAGGTTTATCATTCACAAGATTTATACTCTTACTACCTTCGCCCGTGTAAATTACGCGGTTTGACAGTTTTTTTGCGTGGAAGAGTTTCATAACTTTCGCATTTATAATATTTGAAGAATCGTGTCTCGTGAAAGAATCACTTATTGTTAAACTTATAGTGTCAATTCTGTAATCGTTTACGTAACTGTATTAGTTTGTTTTTTAACCGATGTCACGAAATAGAACTGATGATTATTGCTAATGAGTTTGAGCGCTAATGAATGCTGTCCTAGGTCAAGAGCGACACGCGGATGGCAGATCTGTAATTATGACCCGTCTTTTTAACAACCAGTTATTGTACATTTTAGCAGATATCAAAATCGAAACCTCATGAAACTAGATATTAATAGTTTAATGTACATAATACCTACATAAGTCTTTAAAATTCTCATACTCCTTCAAATTGTAGGTACAGTATATATAGAGGTTTAATCGTTTGATCAGTAGAAACACTTATAATCCATGATCGATTCTATTACTGACTAAATCAAAACATTGGGGCCGACAGACAGCTGACGAAGCACAATGCAGAGCATTTTTCACTATCAAAGCAATCGTTTTTGTTAATGTGCAAATGAGATCGAAACACCATTAGGACAACTAATACATCCTAGACTAGAGCATTAGTAGTGCTATTTTCAGTCTATCAGCCATTTTTTCAAGCGTCCATTAAAGTTATCGTTAGCTTAAAGCGACATTACTGATATAAATCTGACATTTATTAGAGCTTAAAGGCGTCATTAAACCTTAATGAACGTTTGTACAACTGACCGTAAGGCTGCACTGCTTTTAAACGCACGCTTTAGGTATTTGAAAGAAAATGCAAAACCGCATACATTGCAGCTCATGTTTCCATTCGGTTAATGCGTGCGTTTGTATAGAAGACTACGTATTACACCGCTTTGTCTGATGTGTTTCGTTCGATTCTTCGATCTTATACATATTTAATAGTTAAATCTTCAGACGGGCCAGACAATACCTATATATCCGTCTAGTAGGTATCAAATCAATGCAACAATGTCCTCCGTGAACTCATACCCATGAATCCATAACTGTTTATTCACTCCTTAAAATTCATTCCTAAACGGTATACTTATTTTCACTTAAGTATCCTTGCGACATCTGTGCTCTGAGTTTCGTTCAGAGGATGCGGCGCGCCGCCCTCTGTTATGCTGCGCCCTCTAGCCACCTGGGGTTACTGACCTCCGCCCCGCTTGGGGATGCATGACCGCAGCCCCCGACCCTCGGCATCCCGCTGGTCACTGACACGCTACATGTCAATAAACTCTCTGTCAAACCATCCTTGTTGATCGTAACGCACCATTACCCCGAAAGTCGTAAAGTGTATCTATTGATTACATTCGCATATTTATGTCAAAGCATAAATAAGAATAGCGTGGCGAATAATCAAAATTTGCTTACGAGTTCATTGCCCCTTAAAAGAATTATCAGATTAAACTATCGTCTACGATTTACGTACAATTTATTGGAACATATTTGTCGGTTGATGTATGACATTGTTTGCCTATACATAATTTACATCGCGTCATTGGCACTGTAGGAGTATGCAGTGACGCGTTGATCACCGGCCACGGCCGTTATGAGTGGGAAGCGCGGGTGTGCGAGTGCGACCTTGCAGCGTCGCCGCCGCCAAGGTCCCGTCGGCCGTCGACCCGTTGTTGTCCGTCCGCGTCTCTATCGACCGCCACTACTAGTGCTTTACCAATTATTTCTCATCTTAAATCTTGACCTTATATGCTGATCATCCCTTATAATTCAAATTTTATGCAGGAGCATAACTTATGAGATCTTATTAAGTCACGTTCTGGGTCGAACACAAACCTGGTAGCTCATCTCGCAAATATATTTTGTAGTGCACCTGAGGTGCAAGTCGGTTCATGAGGTGGGGGGCAGTGTACGACCGGGTTGACGCGATGTGAGCGCGGCCGACGACCGGCGCGCAAGGATCACCTGCTATGCCTCTGTATTAAAAGTTCAACTACGTTCGTTCAGTTCGTGCAGTTATTGAATAAAGGCACGAGTGCAGAGGGTTCCGCGCAAATATTAAAGTTTGAAAACCACATTTATCTGTAATCTATATTTAAAGAACTATTTTCAGTTTTCTTTTCTATAAAAATTGATGATGGTCAATTATCGCCTATTTTCTTTAATAACTTCAAAACTTAAATCGTCGGCTTACACGACATATGTGTATTACGTTCCAATTCAATCGCCCCAGTAGTTTCAGGGTAAAATTTTTAAGATAAAAACTTGACCTTAAAATAAAGTGTTAGTAGACAATCAGCAGCAAATCATTTATTTGCGCAGCTGTTTTGTATCGTAGTTATTTCGGAGATGATCGTATGTTCACTACACGTTAATGAACTTTAAGTTATCGTTGATTGATGTCAATGACCGATTATGTCTACACATAGGTGTATCTACGAGGTTAGATAGATAATTGTATTTTACTGTGCTTTCGTATTTTTTGCATATTGAAAATATTATTTACTATAAACATTATTATTATTACTATTATTATTCATTATTATATTTTTTCACCAATAGGTGTTATTGACAGTGATCAAAATAACCTAAGAAACTAATATTAAATTAAAGATATCTATTATTTTTTTATAATTTTTCAAAATAAAATCACTATTTTTGAAAAATCTTTGAAACATTTTTTGACTTTCGACAGTTGAAAATAATTGTAACTAATTTCTGCTAATTCGTTTTAATCGGGGAGTTTTCAGTCACTAATTAGGCAAAAACAATGCAAATTAGCAATAAAAATTATTTAGTTTTTTTTTGTGGGGATGTTCCCAACACTAGTAACATAAGCAATAAATAGCTGCGTAATGTTTCCGCACGCCCTCTCTTTCGCTGTACACCTTACTAGACGCACGCGTCTAAGTTATGTTAGCAAGAAATAAACCTCTACATTAAAAGCAGCTCTTAATTACAAGTTCACCAACGTACATGATCCGGCTCGAAGGACCAAGTCCACCAACGGCTGTACACTTTTAAAAATGACAACAAACTTCGCAGTTCCTAATAAATAAAAAAACTGTGGCGCTTAGATAACATTATTCCAGCAGCGTCACAGATCTCATTTATCTCCAAAACAACGTATCTACGTACGAGAAATTGATGATAACAGTCAATAATTGATATGAAAATCCAAGAGGATAGTGTTTGTTGAAGTGATGCAAACATGGTTCGTAATTATCATGATAATTATTTATTTGGATAACTACACTAGTTTATATACTTTCGCCAAAATGTGTTTTTATAGATTCTTGTACCTCATGTGCGGGAAAAATAATGAAAAAGGACTGTCACATATAGTTCACAAAATATTTATTGAAATCTTGTGTCTGTTTTCAAATATCTTGAGGTCTTGATGGAAACGCTCACTCTGGTCGTCACTTACGGCGCCCAAGTTTTCAGGGAAAAAGTCCAGGTGTGAGTGAAAGAAATATGTTTAAACCCATTGCATGATAGTTTTTAATAAGTCTGCAATATTTTATTCATAATTTTCATCTTTATGATGTCCTAAGAATCCATCGATGAACTGTTTTTATCCATGGATTTGAAGAAATTTTTCATCAGATCCAATTTAATATGTAATGGTGGTAAAATTATATTTTAGTGGATCCACTGAACATGTTTATTTTACATTTATTTTTCCTGAAGTAAATTCATTTCAAATAGGCCAATTTTTCTTGATGTAATTATGTTCTTGAAAACAAGAATATTTTGTATATTCGCCCTCTAAGTCTAACCATATACCTACTACTTTTAAATCGCCGCATATTTTCCAGTTGTGTTGTTCATACTGTATCATTTTTGGTAAAACTAATATTGTTTCATAAGTTTCTTTATTGTTTATAGCAAAGCCAATAGGTAGAGATAGTTTCATATTACCTTTATGATAAATAAGACCGTTAAGATAATATCGATAATAAACATCATTCATTTTATTCATAGTTTTGATTAATTCCATTGAAAAGCCCAGGAAAATCGTGGCAAAAGCAATAATCATCCTTTTGGTGAAATAAAGTGCTAAAAGTTTGACTTCGGTTACATTAGTAAAACACTTTGGTATTCGGTGCCAATAAGTTTCACTATTGTAGACGAGAAGCAAAAATCTCTGCTTTAGATCTTGTTAGTTGCAAGTGTCGCACGAGGTCATTCAATCCATTTTGTCTTATTAAATGCGACGTTTTATTCCCTTCCATTTCGAAGTCGTCATCATTTTCATCATCCATAAATAAATCTTCACTGTTACATACGCGATGAGACAGGGCTTCTGAATGTGCTTTTGGTTTTGAGACTGAGTTTTATGCTTACTTTTTTAATTAAAGCCCTTGTCTGCAGCTTTCACAAAATAACATATGGGGCCCACTTTTTAACTTGATTAGGTAAAAAAATAATTGTTGCCATAAAACAAAAATGTGACCTGACAGATTATTATCAAACAATCTGTCACGAATAAGGTAGTATAATAATAAAATAGGTGTTTCATCAAAAGTATATTATAAATGTTAAAATATATAAAGTAGTGTTATAATTATCCATAGTTACTGGCAACATTTTTTTTTGAGCAAACTTTTATTTTTATTGCTTCTTTATTATAAAAATTATACAAACAAAATAAGCAAAACAATACTGTAAAAAACTTTAAACAAAAGGTAAAATTAAAATACTTTTTTTGCTTTAAATGAAAATAACAATTTTTGCTATGAGAAAATCCACATTTGATAGTTCTTTAAAAATGATTCCATTTTAATAACAAGTATTATATTAAAATATAAAAAAATCTCTCATTATTTTAATTACACCACATTGTTTTATTTGAAACACTAAAGTATAACCAACTTCCTTCATTAATTGAGCAAAAGTTCTCTTAATTTGCCTTATATTTTAATTTATAAATATTCTTTCATTACATTGAAAGTGATTTCTTTTGCCTGATAAAACCTACCATATGTTCAAATTACCACGTTCAGTATTTCTGTATCCATTGTTCTAATCTCATTTTAAGGATTTCCCATATACTTTTAGTATGGCACTAACAATTCCGGTTTTATTTCTGTATCCAAATAGGCTTTGTTTTATGTATCCAAGTAAAATTAATGTACATTTTATTTTTCAAAACGTCCTGGTTCCATTTCCCAACTGAAAGAACTTGTTTTTCTAAATGTATGAATGCATTATTTCTTGACACTAAAATCGATAACATTGTTCCTAAGAATAGATCTTCGTATGACTTCGAGTTTAATACTTTCCCATACCGACCATTCTAAACGTATATTATATGTTGGAGTATAGTGGTGGTGTCGTTGCAGGGCTGTAGGCGGGGCGATCGCTGCAGCAGCGTGTACGCTACAGGCGTCGAGCGGCGGCAGCAGCGGCGCGGGTGGCAGCCAGTGGGCACACCGGCGACAAGACGGACAGCGCGCGGCAATCGGGGCCCGCGCGCAGCGCCTCGGGGCGGACGCCCGTCCCCCCGCCGAGGCGACGCTGGGTCCCGCCCTCATCACTGCGACACCACGATGTGCCCGACGGAGATGCCAAACACGACATCATATTCCGGAAGGTAGCTCGCATTCTTGTTACATATACGTGTTCTACCTTTCTTTTATATTTCGATGTAAAGAATTCGTGGCTGTGATTTGACTTTTTCTATTCCACTTTTCTATTTCTATTGAACGGTGAAGCCGCTGCCGGAGCAGCCTTTTAATCAACACTGATGAGCAAGACGGATCTATGCCATTCTAAGTGATGTTAACTCATTCTATGGGCTGCTAAAACAGCTTCATTTTGTTCCTTTCCGCTCTGCCTAAATGCTCATTAATTGCAATTTCAACTGCAACTCCATTTTAATAGTACAGTTCTTCTAGTATTACTCCACTAGTAGCGTTGATTTCTTTGTCGATTTAACAAATTTCATAATCGGTATTGTTAATATAGTAAAACTTGTTTCACGATGACGTATCTGCGTTTCAGGTCCGCGGTATCCTCAATAAACTCACACCTGAGAAATTCCAAAAGCTGAGCGATGACTTACTCGGGCTCGAGCTCGATTCGGACAAGGTGCTCAAGGGCGTCATACTGCTCATCTTTGAAAAGGCCCTTGATGAGCCCAAGTACTCCTCTATGTACGCTCAGCTGTGCAAGCGGCTCAGCGAGGAAGCGCCCAACTTTGAACCACCGGGGCAGCCGTGCACCTTCAAATTGCTTCTACTCAACAAATGCCGTACGGAATTTGAAAATCGAGCTCAGGTAAATCTATTGTTGTCGATGTTTATTTCTTTATTTGTATTTAACACAGTATCAACAATATCACACGGGTTGCGTCACTATAAGACACATTTGACATCTATCAATCTGAAATGATAGTGGGGTGTTCTGCCCAAAATATTTGAATAATATAATGAACCGATATGTTTTTCAAACATGTGAATCGAATGTAGTCATTGCGTAAATATAATATCAATTATCATAGGCTTAGTAAAATATACTACATTGCGCGTGAATGGTTTAAAAAATATTGGATTATAGCAAAACTAATACCTACAATAAATTTGGCGTTAAAAACAAAAAAAAAAAAGTTTTATTAAAAATAAAACATTGTTTGCACAACATAGCTTTATCACTTGTTTACCAGTAGAAACGGTCTAGGCAACTGTATCACCTAATTGAATTCTATTCTATGTGTAACACGATGCTGTTGTTTCCCAAAAAATAAATTTCTTGTTCTGCAACTAGTTGGAAGTGTCATTTGATGTACGCGCCCTCTTAAGTATAACCAGGAATGTTGAACACAAAGTTAATAGTTAGTACTAATTGTTATTGGTTTGGGATATATACGATTTTTAATGATTTTGTTGATACATTTGGCTAGTGCAACGACCTGCCATTGGTTTCCGCCAAATCGCAGCTCATCTGCCTTTTTTTATTTCAAAGTTGAGACTGATCTCAAATGTGGCCTATTATAATGACTCAACTGTAATGCAACACAATTATAAAAACTTAAAAAAGTAGAACCGAATTCAAACTGTAGAAAAATGATAAATAATACGTATCTCAAAAGCTTCTTATTAAAAAAATGCTATTGATCTCGGGCGGGCGGAGGTCGAGGCTCCTGTAGGTTATTAAATAAATGATAGGCGCCCGACTTCAATAGCATTTTCTTGAATAAGTAGCTATTGAGATAAGTATTATCGTTTTTTTTTTAACTTTGAATTCGGTTCAATTTTATTAAAGTTTTTATTTCAGATTTTATTTGTTCGGCATAATTTTTTTCCAATAATTCTATACTCAAATTATAAAGAGGAAAGATTTGTTTGCATTGGATAGGCTCGGAAACCATTCGACTGTTTTATGAAAGTCTCACCTATGGGAGCCTACTTAAAACTCGTTGGACACAAGTTTTAATTTACGCAGGCGAAATCGTAAGGAAACAAGTAAATTGATAGAAATGGCTTCACAATTCAAGAAGAAATCAATTTACATACCTACTTAATAAAAAAAAATATACATAATCCTTGAACATAGAAAATTCACCTTTCGGATTTTGAATGAATTCCAATTCCACAATATTTTGTTTTTTTAGCTATTTTTAGGAAGGGCCATGTACCATATCGACTAAATATTTGGGTGATATTTGGTGAAAAGCGTATTTTGTCATGTTGTAAAAGGATTTGATTTCGATAAAATTTAATGGGACCACCTCAGTCCATTAAGTTGTTGAATGAAAAAAGAATTTTGAAATTAAACAATTGGCGGAAATATCGGTGAGATTACATTAAAAAAACACATCGCCGTCGAACATAGCCTCCTTTTGGATTTTAAAGTCAGTTAAAAATAATATAATTTTATGTGAACTATTTTCACCAAACTATTGCGAAGCAAAAAATTGTTATTATTACGGCTGAAACTTATAATACATGGTCATCTCTTCCTTTCCGACATAAACTATTAATAATAATTTAACAAATGATGTAGTATTAATCATCCAGTGGTTATAATGTGACATCACTTTAAATTTAACATACGTCACATAAGTATTGTATACTATATCTAATGTCAAATCTATTTTACATTACAATTAAACGCCTAGAAAAAACATCCTTGGTGAGTCGATAGTTCTAGTGCACGTGTTCAATAATAAATTTCGTCTTTCACACACAGGCGTTCGCCGCGTTCGAAGACAAGGCGCTCGGACCGGAAGAAGAGGAAAAACGGCATCTAGCAAAATGCAAGATGCTCGGTAACATAAAATTCATCGGCGAGCTTGGCAAGTTGGAGATCCTTGCCGAGTCGATTTTACATCGCTGCATCCAGAACCTGCTCGCGCGGCGCGCGGCCGCCGAGCATCACGAGGATCTGGAATGTCTAGCGCAGCTGGTGCGCACCTGCGGTCGGGTCCTGGACTCAGAACGGGGACGCGGCCTAATGGACCAGTACTTCGCGCGAATCGAGACGTTGTCCGCGTCGCGCGAACTCGCCCCGCGCATCCGTTTCATGCTGCGCGACGTGGTGGAGCTGCGGCGCGGCGGCTGGGTACCTCGCGCGGCCGTCTCCGCCGAGGGTCCGGTGCCCATTCATCAGTTGCGCGGCGACGACGAACCACCGCGCCGCGATCGCGACCGAGACCGGGACCGCGACCGCGACCGTGAGCCCTTGTTCCGCGGGGGACTACGCTCACGACCCCTAGACGACGTGCTCGCCGGGCTTAGTCTACAGCCAGCCGCCGCGCTCGTGCCGCCCGGTGATAAACTCTTTGGCAACGGTTTTGCCGCGCGCGACGCTTTCCGGCAGCGATCGGCACCGGGTTACTACCCGCGTGCGGGTGGCGGCGGCGGCGGAGGGGCGGGCGGTGCACCTCACAAGACCGGCGGTGGTGGCGGTGGCGGAGGCGGGGGTGGGACGGGCAAAGACGCGCGCGGGCGCGGCCGCGTGTATGCGGCGGGGGCGGCGGCGTTGCACGATGTGCAGATGCGACCAGCCGCTAACTCTCTCATGTTCACTGCCAACAGACTGTCGCGTCCCGCATCCACACATCCGCCTGTGCAACCCAGTGAGTATCCACCCTTCTCTCTACTTACATTGTATCAGATCACTATTGATAAAGTATTCTAATACACTGAAGTGATAAAGTACACATTTATGGCCATATCAACTAAGTTAAACCTAACACGAAAAAGCATAATACACAGGTATACTAAATGTTTTTTTTAAAAACGGTCATATTTGCTGCGTCAGCTGTACGAACTTTTACTTAAATATAATTAAATATTAGATAACATCATCTACATTGTTCAGATTCCAAGATGAGTAGCTAATAAAGCCCCCATATTATGGACAATCTAGCTCTACATATGATTATCATGAGAAATTTGGTTTGTATTCTAAATCGTGTACGCGTTACAGACGTTCTGGCGCCTGCGTTCGCGAGCGCACCGCCGCTACTGAAGGAACCTGCGATCACTATCAAACCGGCTCCTGATAAGAAGGACAAACCCAAAAAAGACAAGGTGCGTAAAAATACTACGAAATTGGTTTCAAATAAACAAACCTGCAATATAGACAAACTTTTTATGTAGATCAGCCTTTATCAGCGATAATGCCCACTTGTGGGAGCTGCAGGCCTAAATGGGGGCGGTATGAGACACAGAAAAATGTATGCGGGCGTTGTCTAGAGGCTTAGGAAAAGATAACAAGAGATACTAGAGACACACCGCTCAGATCTTAAGTTAGCTTTTGCGGAATATATTAAAGGTCTGGTTTAGAATGAACGTTTAATCTCTGCTAATATAGCTAATACAAGTTATAGTGGTTTTAAGTACGTGATAAAATGGGGATACCAAAGAATAATTTATTCTCAAAGTGGGCAATAGACAAAATAAGTTTGGGAAACCATGATCTAGCTTGTCTTGTGAGATCATTGTAAGAAACGACTTGATAATATATGTGCCCTCGTTAATATTCTTATTGTATGGAAAAACGTCAAATCAATTTAATATTAGTTTTCCTCACAGGTAATATATTGGTTCAGTAGGCGAAAAAACGGATGACAGGCTTTGAAAGACAACGAAATCTATCTTTATCAAAAGAAATAGTAAATGTATTATTATCAATAGAACTATATACTTTCCGCGTAGTTTGAGCTTTGTTGTACGGGCCGCTAAAGGTCGCTGACCCGCACCGTATAACAATAGGGTAGTTTCGTCAGTGAAAAATAAGTCAGGAAATTGCACAAAAATGAAAATGTCAGTCGTAATAAACATAATGATTCTGATTTTGAATCTTAAATCGCATGTTTATCGTATTATCTTGAAATTAAAAGTCGTGAGTTTTTATCTGTGTATCACGTGACTTGAAACACGACCCGCCATTGTTTGATGTCACTGTGACGACAGCTGTCAGATTAATCCTGAAGATATGTTTGTTATATATCTTTCTAGCTAATTTATATCTCTTTTTATTCCATAATCGATCTTTAGAAGGCATTTTTCCTGTTTTATTGACTTTTAATCTTCTAATTTATGCATCTGTTTTGTGTACATATCAGAATGACGTCATGAATATGATGGACAGCATTTTCGCAGATTTAAAAAAGTTTAGATTTTTATTTAATTTTAAGGTTTAAAGTGTTTATTTTTCCGAAATATTTGTTTCATGCCTTTTAAAATTAAACAAGTTACAAGTATTATTTCAAACAGTAGAATACCTTATAAGCATTACTGCACGGAACTGGATATAAGAAACGGAACGCGGGTGGCCATTAAGGCGCATTGATGTCACGTCACATTTCAATCAACTAAACTTTATAGTCTTTGTTGAGATAATACTTTGTCACTATCCGTTCTTTCGCATGCCTACCACCGAATATAAATGTGCCTGTGTATGCCAGGGTGTGAACAAAGAAGAAGCGTGTCGCCTGGGCGTTGAAGCGGTGGGCGAGGTGGCCGCCGAGTGGACGGACGGCGATCCACCGGATGTAGACTACGAGCCTCGGTCACCAGCTTTAGCACGACTGCGGGACATGCAAACACCGGACAAGGTCATTACTATACACTTCTACTCGTAGGACTTAACATGACGCCTCCGAAACCGAAATTTCGTCTATTCTCGAAATGCTAAACAACTCCAAAGAAACGTTTTTTCGGTAATTTATTATGCCAGCGAGAATATCTGACATTGCTTCCGATGCACGAATAATGTTCACAGATATGAATTTAACAAAATTAAAAGAATGATTCGAAATTTTCCATACGAAATTTACAGGTTATATATACAAATTTATAGTGACAAATGTCGACCATTCAGAAAGACTGTATTTTAAACCTAATGATTGTTGAAACAAGTAATCATATGTTCAGTCATGATCGGTGTTAGTAAGTGCTCTACGCAAATGAAGATTGAATCTCGAACTTTGAACTTTGCGTCACATTAATTTGAACTTCCTGTATCCATAGTTGAACTATAACCGCGTCACTCATTGAACTTCATTTCATTGAATTTTATCATACTAACAAAGTTGAAGCTACCACGTAATCGGTCCATTTATTTATCTTAGCGTTTTGACTGCGTAGTTCGTTCGTTAAGTTTATAGCATGAATAATGCGGAACTTTAAAGTTTATCATATCCCTGGAGAATTTTAAATCCAATTTTATGTAACAAAGATATGCAATCAGTTCTGTATCTGTAATTCAGTGTCTGTAATTAATAATTTTATACAAAAACATTGCATGCAAAAGTTTTTGTTGGATTTGTAGGGAAGGAAATGAATAATATGCCCAGAGGCACTTGTTTTTTGGGATCCGTATCCGTAGGGTAAAACGGGAACCACATCACTAAGACTTCTGTCTCTCACCAAGCTGTATCTTAAGAACCGTGAGAATTGGACAGATGATGTATTTATGTTGCCGCTTCAACAACTAATACTAAAAGCAGCAAATAATAAACATTTAAAGGAGCTCCCATACTCCGTGCGCAAATCCGACTTGCACTTGGCTCGTCTTTTTTAGTTTTCATTTTATTATTGCGGTGGTTGTGCAGGTGTTGCGTCGCGTGGTGTCTGGCGTGTTAGAGGCGGCGCTGTGCGAGAGTACGCGCCACGAGCGCGCGTGGGCGGCCGCGTGTGTAGCGCTGCGCATCAAGCGCGCGCCGCTAGGGGAGCCGCTGCGGGCCCTCGTCACTACCAAGCGGTCGGGCACGGGGGAGGATTGCGGCGGCGCGCTCGTGGCACTGGTGGCGCACGCGGCGCGGCTGCGACTCGTGTCGCTAACGGACGTGGCCGCGTGGCCCGCCGCTGAACGCCCGCTGCTGCTGGAGGTGCTGCAGCTGCTGCATCCTATGCTCGGCACCGATCGGCTACAGCGTATGCTCGACGACACCAAGGTGACGACACATTATGTATACCTATTGTTGTAATATTTTATTTATGAAAACAAACGGTCGTTTACAATTTATACATATAATCAAAACTCATTTAATTCGTACACCTGACAGTTCCATTACTAAATACTAATTTAATAATCTGTAAGTTTCCCTCGTTCTGGATAGTACAAAATCATGTTTTATATTGCTGTTTTTTTTTTTCCAAAATTTTGTTCTGATTACCCAATGAAATAAATGTAACATTAGAGCGTGTCATATCTCTCATTTGGTTAAGTCTATGTTTGAATGCAAATATGCAGACTACTAATCTCTAAAAAAAATTTTTGAGCTTAGGAAAAGCGCTAAAGAGTTGCTCCGCTCGCGTATTCGTGTTTGGATTTTTATCTATTTGTAAACGGTTTTTGATAAAATCCGTACGTCGCTACGACGTATCGAGCCTGGAGCAATCTCGCGAACCACCAAGTCATCAGCGTGCGACGGTAAGCCGGTTAAAGTATATATGGACGTAGTTATGCAAACCGGATCCAACCCACAAATCTGTCAAAATCGAGATATATACAGAGAAGAAGCCATTCTATAGGTTCTATGAATATCAAGGTTATTTCAAACTTTTAGCTACAAAAATAGTTAAAAATACATTAGCTCAAAAAATACCGACTCGAACAATTTTGCAAAACACAAAAGTTCGTAGTAACTGGTACACGTTTAAATTAGTTTTACAAAATTATGTTTTAATAATATTTTAAAAGAAAGATTCATGCCGCTTTTTATATCATCTTAAGTAAGTTGATGCATAACTTGATTTTGCAAAAAAGATCCAAGCTCTTTTTCGTAATTGCAGTATTATATTGTATTTTTGTGTATACCACCATATTTATATAAGTATGTAACTTCACATATTAATTTTTATAACATCATCAGCCCTTTATTTCGTCCTCACTGCAGGGGCTCAGGCCTTCCTTATGGATGGTTAAGGAGCATGGGCCATGACCCTTTACGCTGGCTCAATGAGGATTGGCAGGTATTAACGACTACAAATGCAGCCGGGACCAACGGCTTAACGTGTCTTCAGAAGCACGGAGTAGCTCGAGATAATAATTTTTTGGTCTCCCATCTCGTGACCGGCCCTTGCAAAAGTTGCTTAACAACAACGATCGCGTGCCGCGGCGCTTATCCACTACGCCACCGAGCTACTCGTTATATTCATATTAATACCATTTGTTAGTTATCATTGCCCTTCATACAAATATATTTTGTTATAAAGATCCAGGAAGGATTTTATAAGAAAAAATCTTAAAATTAAATTCATATATGTAAAACTTCTTGATAAATAAATTAAAAAAAAAACAATTTACAGTACAAAAAAAAAAGTCACTGAAAACAAGAAACAGATTATATCTTTACAAAATTTTAACTTCTTGGATCCTATTTGCACAACACCGTCCATATCATGTGTGGGGGCGCGTGTGTAACGCATGTGATGTTATGTGCAGATAAACCTGTGCGCGTACGCGACGGAGCAGGGCGGCGGCGGCGCGGAGGGCGCGCTGGAGGCCCTGGAGGCGCGCGGGCTGGACGCATTAGTGCCGCAACTGCGCGTGCAGGCGCTACTGGCTCGCCAACTGCAGGCGGACCCTGGACCGCAACCACTATTCCGCTGGATCAAGGTACAACACTACACTAAACTAACGAACTGATGTGGTGATTTACCTGCATCGTCAGCCCTGTTACGTCTCTTTATGGATGGTTAAGGAGGATGGGCCGTGATCGTCCACGCGGGCCCAATATGGATTAGAGGGTATTAATATCAGCAAATCCAGCCAGAGAAGCTGAGAATAATTCTTTTGGTCACACATGCCGTGACTGATCCTTACGACAGTTTTTAACAATTTTATTCGTATGCAATTTAACTTTACTAATTTCCGATTCTTCGAAAAAGAAATAAGCGCCCATAATGATTAAAATAAAACACTTTAGAAAGTTGTACGATGCCATATTTCGGATTATTTTTACTACCGAAACTACCCTACCTTACCCTACTCGTGCGCGTAGTATATCTAAATATTAATTTATCGATGTAAATATAACGCAGAACAACGTGGAACCGAGCGTGCGCGCCAACGCGGCGTTCGTGTCTACACTGGTCGCGTTGGTGGCGGGCCACGTGACGGCGACAGCCGGCTCGGCGGTGGCGGCCGCTGACAAGGCCGCGCTCGAGCGCGAGAAGGCCCTCATTGAGTCGTACGCGCCGCTACTCACCGCGTTACTCAACGCGAGACCAGACTTGCAGCTTGCCGCCGTATACGCCGTACAGGTTAGTATAATATTAATTTGCTTTAAATTTTACCTTGATTAATTTTCATTTTTTTAAAGTTTGTCTTGTACTAGCTTGCCGCTGGCGGTTTCGCTCGCATAGTCCCTAAGGAATTGTTTATTTGGATATCGATTACAATGACAAATTGAATGGAAATGGTTACTATGGTAACGTTTTAATTCTTTACAAACCTCCACTCCCATTTTCATTCTTTTATTTGCTGTTTCTCGGGATAAAATGTAGCCTATATTCACCGCATATGATGTAGCTCGGTAAAATCGGTCCAATAGTTTTGGAGCCTATTCGATGCAAACATACAAACAATCAAAATTTCTCTTCTTTATAATTTCGGTATAGATTAGCTTTCGTTCCGATTATATCGATGTACTAAATAAATTGCGTTTATAAGTAACGATACACGTTATGTGGTACAGGTGCACGCACATCACCACCGGTACCCAAAGGGCATGCTGCTACGCTGGTTCATGTACCTGTACAACCTGGAGGTGTGCGAGGAGGACGCGTTCCTGCGTTGGCGCGAGGACGTCACTGACGCCTATCCCGGCAAGGGAGAGGCACTCTTCCAGGTAATAGCATTTAACAATTTTCAACATTAACCATGCTCTGCAGGGGCTCAGCAATTATGGAGGGTTTAGGAGGATGGGCCATGATCCTCTACGCTGGCCCAATGCGGATTGGAGGGTATTAACATCAGCAAATCCAGCCCGTTTGGTCACCCATCCCGTGACTGATCCTTACGACAATTGTTTTTTAACAATTTTATTCATATGAAATTTAACTTTACTTATTTCCGACAAGAAGGCCTACTCTGTTACTTCGAAAAAGAAATTTCATCTACTTTCGAAAAGCTAATATGTATATGATGTACAGTTAATGTTCACAAATAATTATAAGTTCAAATTAGAACGAAACTTCAATCAGGCCCTGTTTTATTGATTCGGTTGGCAGTAGTTCTAATACAAACAGCGGCCCCACATCAGATTACCACATAATATCAAAAATCCATCATCAAATCCAATTCCGCGTGAGGCAGTATGCAAAAATATTAGGCAAAAAACATCTGCCGAATAGAACGCGAAAGCGCGATCGTCGTAGGTTCGTGCGAATTGTACTCTTATCCTAATTGACAAACGTACTTCTTTGTCTTTACTATTTGCGCGAATTTGTTAGTACGAACAAGCGATCAAACTGTTAGTGCGATATTTGCGCCGCCCGGGCACAGCGCTCACGCCGCGTCTCTCGCGCTACTTATATCGATACTTTACTCGATACCAGTATCGTATCAAAAGTATCAATACCTCGAGGTATCAAGTACTTTTTAATAATTTTTATAAAAAACCTTCATTAGGGTTTTGTATTTTATATTGAAGTTAGTAAATTTAAATGATAAATCAGTACATTAATTAAACTTAAAATATTTTCATTTTCCTATGGTGGTTACATTATACTAGAAATTACCTTCACAAATAAAAACAATCACTGCACAACATTATTTCTTATGATTGGGTTCTGAATGAGGAATGTTAATAGATATGAAATAAAGCTTAAAAAATCATTACAGTAAAGTTCTTATGTGTACAAGTTATGTAGTTTTAAGTTTACAAAAAATTCAGTGGGCCGCTCAGTCACGTAGCCGGCGTGTGACGTCATTTTCCAACGCTCCGTCTAGCCGAAAGCGCTACTCGCTAGTCGCCAGCGGTGATAGGAAACCTCGCGTAGTACTTTTTTTTTTGTTAATTCGTATCAAATAGTAAAAAAAAATTAAGCACATCAGCTAAACATGCAAAAGAGAGACGGTTTATTTAGTGAACTGTTACAATATAATTATAAAATGCAGAAACTCATATTATCGTACATCAAAATATTGATTGCAAAATTCATCATGGCTCTCATTTTTAACAAAGCATTTTTCGTCCCACTTTTTTTTTTTTTTTCTTTTCATTTCCATCTTAACCCGCACAATAAGTCACGCAAATATTTTCCGACAGCAAAAAATGGGCGTCTCAGATGTCCATGGTTGTTGGTATTGACCGTGCCATTGCGTTATTCCACGGTCGCACGCTCGCTCGTTTCGTTGATTCGCACTAACGAACCCGTTATGGTCGCATCGCTGTCTGACGCGCTCTATTAGGACGATGCCTAACGATAACGCTTACGAGCCAAGGGACTGTTAAAATTCAATGAGAATTATGTTGGTAACCTGACGTGCTATTGGCTTCCACAACTGACTATTTTACGCCTACTGATTAAGGTCTCAGTCAAATGTTGCGGCTATATCAGTGGTCTATGTCGAAAGTTAAAAAGTTATTCAGTTACTCAGACAAAAAATGACCAATTTGTTTTTAGTTTAATCTTCATTATATAATGCATCAAAGAACGTTAAGCAACAGTGTAGATTTTATTTTAATAGAATTAAAATTAAAAACTGAACTATACTATTATATATATATATATAATATACTGTTGTTTTTTACAGGTGAACACGTGGCTGACGTGGCTGCAACAGCAGGAGTCCGAGGACGAAGAGGCGGAGGACTAGTGGACTAGCCTGTCACCACATTCGTATCGCGCACGCGCCGGCGCTCCGTTCGCACCGCTTTCGTTTCGTGCTCATCTCATATAAATATAATTAAGCCAAATAGTTAAAATACCTATCTTCGTTACCCTTTAACGCTAGATCCGTCGTGCTCGGCGACTCCAGTGTTAAATAGGTCAATTTTAGGTTATACTACGTAAACGAATATTAGTATCTCGAGATAATTTTTTGTAGGCCTTTTACTCGATTTTGATACTTTTTACAAATGTATACAATGTATAGTGTTCGTTCGGACGTATGGTTGCACCCCGGTCTGCCCCCTTCCTGCAGTGTTTTAGTTGAATTGTAAAAATATATAAATATATATTATATGTATGAAGAACTTAAATCAATTTTTTATTAATGATATCATGATCGTTTATTTTCGATGCTAAATGGACTTAGTGATAAACTGTAAGATTGCTTAAATTTCACTGTATTATCAAATTTTAGAATTTTGTAACTAGATAAATGGAAAATAAAACGCGAATGTTCTCCTTGGGCATAACATAATGTATGTTGAGTGAATTGTAATAAAGTTGTGACATAATGGCGAGTAAATGAGCAACGTTGGTCAATATGTATTGTATTCAGGATGAGGAATAAACTTCAGTGTAATTTATTAAAAAAAGGCGTATTATTACTACTCTTCCCTATTCCCTGATTTAAAAAAATCAACTAATCACACTATAAATCAGTCTTTTTTTTTTTAAGTTGTACAATAAAATAATAAACCAACCCAAATTCTCAAATTAACATTTATTTTCTATTAGTTATTACAGTACATGAAAGTATTTCTTAAATAAAAAGTATATTGCTATACTACATTTTAATCACAAACAATAAATCATGCTCAGTTTTTTATAAATGTAAAATTTATTTTAAAATAGCTCAAACCAAAACGGACATAATTCTGTTTCTAGTATTTCTAATTGCTTGAGAACCTAATAATTGCATCTTCTTAAAAGCCACCTTGTTCCAGAATGAAAGGAGCTGAAAAATATTTAAACTTCAATAAATAGTCCTATTAACATAATTTAAAAAATAATTAACTGCATATTTCAAATCACTCAAATGAAATTTGATAAGTTTGTAATTGGTTTTTGCTAAACGATTAAAATGTCAATATAATTTTAGCGAGATCTTAATATGGTTAACATATTATTCATAGAAGCTAGTGTTTTGTGTAATTGTCTCACTCAAAATAATTTAAGGTGAACACATCAAGTTTGTGGCAAAAGAACGGGATTCTTTCTATGAAAACATATCAATCATACTCATATATGTAAAAGATCAATTCATTACAATTAGATCTATGTATATTGCAAGTGTTAGTTATGCGGTAATGTACTATCCCCGATGATATGAATCATTGTGTACATGTTTTAATTTCACTTTGTCATTCATATGCAATCTCAGATTTTATACTTTCATATTTAAAATATGAAAGTATAAACTCTGCCACAGATATCTGCTGTGCATTGTACAATCTACCTAGGGTTGTTGCTGATGCTGGTTTTTATTCTATTAGCGGATGCTGAAGCAGGTTTTTGATGCTGATATTAATAAATTACCTAAATAACACAAATCCTACATAATGATTAGCAAATATGGTATGCTATTTGGAATAAAACACCACTACTAATTACACCAATGTGAAGCTACAATATAGGTTTGGTGACATAAGCTATAATAGGCTACATGATGGATATAAATATATTTAAAACGGTGTAAGTTATATCTAAAGAATAATTATGTGGTATTTTATGTTTTTAAATCAATTTAAGTCTATTTATTTCTGTTGAATTTTCTTTCGATTCTAATCAGTTAGATCACAAGATTCGAAACAGGGGGCCATGATGGAACATTGTATCGTCACTGTTAACGACGCGAGTATATAATGTTATTTTTAAAAGAAAATGGTACATAGAGCTGCTATTGACGATAATTACAGTCCAAACGCATCGCGGTTCAATAGTCAAAGTAACGGTCAGGATATTAAGGAGCGACTTGAATGCAGTCAAAATGAGCTGGAGAAACACGGAGCCAACAAACTTGGAACAATAAAATGCTCAGCGTTTCCGCCGCCGCCGCATGTCGACAGCACTGATGGCCCAGTTCAGCAGTTGGTCAGTGCACTAAAGGATTTAGTCACCACTTCAGTATCAACTAGTCAGAACGCGAACTTGCTCAGTCGCATTAGCACACCGAGAGAGTTTCCTGGTGACCCAAAGGAGTGGCTATCATTCAAAAATGCTTATGAAGAGTGTAGGCGACTGGCTGGAAAGCGCCACCCTTTTTTATAAATTTGTCATATTTTTATATTGTTCTTTTACTACTACTCTTTTTTTTGCGTTTTGTTGGATAATAGTATAATTATTATATTTTATCGTATATCCATTAGTTCTTATTGACAGTCCTCATCCCCACTAGCTATCATTTTGGTCCATTCGTTTCGTAAGTATTTGTGAACCAGTTTTAATATTTTTACGTATTGTCAAAAATTTTCAATTCATTATTATTCACGTAGTAATCACATTTTTTTACGTAGCAACATTTCATCATCATCACAATGGTAAACACGCGTAGCAGGTTAAACTCGCGAGTGATGATTCAGTATTGCCTTCATGAGATGCACCCTCCGTTGCAGCACAACCCACGTTCACGGCACACATTCCAACGCAGAGCATCGACAATACTTAACCATCACCGCGTACTAAAAGAGTTTCCAGTCACAATAAGCGAACAGGCTCACGGACGCAAACATCGCATTCGTCTGCCACCGTGAGAGCACAAAAACTTGCAGCTAAAGCAGAACTAATGCGACGCCGAGTCGAGCGTGAAAGACAATTAGCTGAACTCGAATACGAAGCTGAACAGTAGAGTTCAGAACCGGGAAATCCCGGTCCGAAAGTACCGGGAATTCCCAGTTCTTTTGTCAGTAAAATGGAACCGGGAAATCAAATTTGATTCCCGGTTCTTTCGGGAATTTTATTTTTATTACACGATTCACACTAGTTCACGCTACTATTTACTTATTTACTCTTACTGAACTTTTCCACACTTTATACTATTCAAACATTCAAAACTAATTCAGCGTTAAAAGAAATAACACGCGAAAAAACTCGGGTTGCAATAGAAGACGAAGATGACGATGTTCCTTGGGCAGCACTAAGCAGGCAGAGACTTCTAGTGAACGTGGAATCTTAAGATAAAGAGTCGGACTCGGACAGCGAAGCCAATGGCGCAGAGTTCTTGTCTCAAAATACGTCTCCAGTTTCCGAACGTCAATTTGAACACAGAGATTTACTCTCAAAAGTCAAAAAAATAGTTGAACTATCCGCAAATCTCCAACTAAAAACGATGACGTCCTGCAAAAGTACGTTAACGCACATTTTCATAAAGAATATTCACTAACCTGTGAGTCAGTAACACGTTGGAGTAGCCTCGCTTTTATGCTTGAACGATACTTGAAGCTGCGAACTTGCATTGTGAAAGCATTAATTGATTTAAAATCCACAATAAATTCTCAAGCAGATTGGGAACTAATTGGAAAGTTACACGAAGTCCTTGACATAAACAAAACTGTATTAGAGACTTTGTGTCGTCGCGATTCTACATTATTGACAGCAGATGTTGCTATAAAATTTGCATTAAAAAAATTGCCAATATCGAAAATAACTATGTGGCCGAAAAAATGTTTATGATGTTAAAAAAACGATACACAGAACGGCGTCTCAACGTTGCAGCTGCAACTCTGAATTACTTGCAAAATTCAGAAAGTTATTTCCTCCAACAAAATGATGAAGATTCATTAGTTTTTTCGCGGCGAAGAAGATAGATAGATAGTTTATTCAGACAACAACACACAACTTGTAAAATACAAATAACAGTTAAGAACAGAATACGTAATGCTATAAGTGATATACCTGTGTGTAGCAGTAAGATAAGGGTCAAGTGGTGACTGAACCTGTTGAGACTATGATCGAACCTGGTCAACCTTGAGTTGTTCCCTCGGCGTTTTGTGTTCTGAGAATAATAGCTCAACAGTGGGAGTGGTCTCGGATTTTTATGTTCCGAAGGCGACTCATTAGCGGGAGTGGACTCGGTTGAGGACTCCTGGTTTAGTTGCCTTGCCAGAGGGGCTTATTGGTGACTGAACCGGTGGAGACCGAAACTGAGTCTGCTAAGTGAGGGGCGGCGAAGCCGGTGAGTGAGGCCTGTCAACGCCCTTTTAAGGGCGTCGATCAGGCTGACACTGGTGGAGCTGCAATCTATTTCGAGTTGTCCCCTCGGAATTTTGTGTTCCGTGGATGACAACTCAAGTACGGGAGTGGCCTTGGATTTTTATGTTCTGATGGCGACTTATCAGTGGGAGTGGACTCGGTCGCGGACTCCGGGTTGGGTCGCCTTGCCAGAGGGGCTTGATAGTGACCGAACCTGTTGAGACTGTGACCGAGTTTGCTCATGAGGGAGTGGTCTTAGTCACGATTTCTGGGTCCGGCTGCGACATGCCAGAGGGGGAAACAGCAGCGAGACCTGTTGATCTCGTGACGAAGACTACTAACTGAGGGAGTGGTCTTAGTTATGACTTCCGGGTCCGATTGCAACATGCCAGAGGGGCAAACAGCAATTGGACCTGTCGAGGTTATAATGGAGTCTGCTAATGGGAGGGGTGCTGGTCATGGTTCTCATGACTGGTATTCAGTTAGGCGGTTTTGAGGTCTGATAGCGCTCCTTTAGGGGCTGTGGTCAGACTGGAGGCCGACTAACTGAGGCTTTTGTGTGGGGATCTGCGATGGTACGATTGAGCTGTTTACCATGATATCGGCTTTAGTAGAATCCTTCACATGTCGGTCAAACTCCCTGTGCCTTGCGGAACTCGTGCGTTATGGATGATGAACCTTGCTACCGGCGGAATGGACATACGCAGAGCGCGTATTCATTCTGTCGGGAGGTGGACATCCGTAATGGCTAACTGTCGACCTGGATACGTCTGCCGGGCGGGCCTGTGATTGACAGTTAGTGAGAGGAATGCTTGGAGTCGGCCTGCGTTTACGTGGGTGAAGGGAGTTCCCTTTGTGGTCCTGTTTACAGGGTCACAAAGTTGAGGGTCAGCAACCGGTGTTGAGGTCCGATAGCGCTTCCCCCCCGTGGGGGAGGTTGTGGTCGGACTGGCCACCTGCGGAGCTGAAACGTACGGGGAGAGGGACTCACTTATGAGTTCCTCCAACTGGACAGCGAGGACTGGAAACGCTCAATTGCGCATTTCCTATCTTTGGTAGGGGCAGTCGGCGGGTTCGCGCGCCCGCCGGCCTTGCACGTCCCTACCCTGTCTGGGGTGTGTGTCTCTTGTGTGCCTGAGATACATGCCCAACCCGGTGAGGGAACTCGCCCTTCGGGGTGAGTTAAAGGGGGCGAACCGGCGCGGCGTAATGGCCCACTGGCCGATCCCGTTCCATCGCCACCAACCCGAGTGAGGTACATCGCTGAGTTTTAGTGGGTAGGCCCTGTTTCTTGTCCGGTGCTTTTTAGAGTAAGTCCACAGGGAGAGTCCCACATAACCCGTGAACCCTAGCGCCCAGGAGGAGCGGGTATGCGTAAAGCATTTCTCAGCGTCAAAAAAAAGGGTCAAGGCTCGGTGCACGTAAATCAACTAAGAACGGGTGAAGCACCGATTTTCAGCCGTCAGTCCAAAGTGAGCGGGGCAGATTATTGTCAATGTCATATAAATAAGAAGAATTCAAAAATATCCAAAATAAAAGATAGAAACGTTCTTAATGAAAAATAATAAAAAATAAGTAATAGTCCATAGTATAGATAAAAGTAAGATAAATAATGATAAATTAGATAACACAGAAGAAGAAGGGATGAAATGTGCAACGCAATGACACTATTGTAATTTCTAAGTCGCACCAAATTCTCAACAACTATATCACAAGCTGAACCCCTACAAATGCAAACCTCACAAGGTGAACAGGCGAGAGAATGTG